CCCCAAAACTGCTAGAACTCATACAGGGATTCAGTAAAGTGGCAGGATATAAAACCAAAATCAGTGGCATTCCCATACACCACCACCAAGACAGAAGAAAGAGAAATTAAGGAGTCGATCCCATTTACAATTGCACCCAAAACCATAAGATACCTAGGAATAAATCTAACCAAAGAGGCAAAGGATCTGTACTCAGAAAACTATAAAATACTCATGAAAGAAACTGAGGAAGACACAAAGAAATGGAAAAACGTTCCATGCTCATGGACCGGAAGAACAAATATTGTGAAGATGTCAATGCTACCTAGAGCAATCTACACATTTAATGCAATCCCCATCAAAATACCATCCACTTTTTTCAAAGAAATGGAACAAATAATCCTAAAATTTGTATGGAACCAGAAAAGACCCCGCATAGCCAGAGGAATGTTGGAAAAGAAAAGCAAAGCCGGCGGCATCACAATTCCAGACTTCCAGCTCTATTACAAAGCTGTCATCATCAAGACAGTATGGTACTGGCACAAAAACAGACACATAGATCAATGGAACAGAATAGAGAGCCCACAAATGGACCCTCAACTCTATGGTCAACTAATCTTTGACAAAGCAGGACAGAATGTCCAATGGAAAAAAGACAGTCTCTTCAACAAATGGTGATGGGAAAATTGGATAGCCACATGCAGAAGAATGAAACTGGACCATTTCCTTACACCACACACAAAAATAGACTCCAAATGGTTGAAAGACCTCAATGTGAGACAGGAGTCCATCAAAATCCTAAAGGAGAACACAGGCAGCAACCTCTTCGACCTCAGCCACAGCAACTTCTTCCTAGAAACATCACCAAAGGCAAGGGAAGCAAGGGCAAAAATGAACTATTGGGACTTCATCAAGATAAAAAGCTTTTGCAAAGCAAAGGAAACAGTCAACAAAACCAAAAGACAACTGACAGAATGGGAGAAGATATTTGCAAATGACATATCAAATAAAGGGCTAGTATCCAAAATCTATAAAGAACTCATCAAACTCAACACCCAAAGAACAAAGAATCCAATCAAGAAATGGGTGGAAGACATGAACATTTTTCCAAAGAAGACATCCAAATGGCCAACAGACACATGAAAAAGTGCTCAACATCGCTCAGCATCAGGGAAATCCAAATCAAAACCTCAATGAGATACCACCTCACACCAGTCAGAATGGCTAAAATTAACAAGTCAGGAAACGACAGATGTTGGCGGGGATGCGGAGAAAGGGGAACCCTCCTATACTGTTAGTGGGAATGTAAGCTGGTGCAGCCACTCTGGGAAACAGTATGGAGGTTCCTCAAAAAGTTGAAAATAGAGCTACCATATGATCCAGCAATTGCACTATTGGGTATTTACCCCAAAGATACAAAAGTAGGGATCCGAAAGGGTACGTGCACCCCGATGTTTAGAGCAGCAATGTCCACAATAGACAAACTGTGGAAAGTGCCAAGATGTCCATCGACAGATGAATGGATAAAGAAGGTGTGGTATATATATACAATGGAATATTATGCAGCCATCAAAAGGAATGAGATCTTGCCATTTGCAACGACGTGGATGGAACTGGAGGGTATTATGCTGAGCGAAATAAGTCAAACAGAGAAAGACATGTATCATATGACCTCACTGGTATGAGGAATTCTTAATCTCAGGAAACAAACTGAGGGTTGCTGGAGTGGGGGGTGGGGTGGGAGGGATGGGGTGACTGGGTGATGGACACTGGGGAGGGTGTGTACTCTGGTGAGCACTGTGAATTGTGTGAGACTGTTGAATCTCAGATCTGTACCTCTGAAACAAATAATGCAATATATGTTAAGAAAAAAAAAAAAGAAGATAGCAGGAGGGGAAGAATGAAGGGGATGAATTGGAGGGGTAGACGCACCATGAGAGATGATGGACTCTGAAAAACAAACTAAGGGTTCTAGAGGGGAAGGGGTTGGGAGGATGGGTTAGCCTGATGATGGGTATTGAGGAGGGCACATTCTGCATGGAGCACTGGGTGTTATGCACAAACAATGAATCATGGAACACTACATCTAAAACTAATGATGTAATGTATGGGGATTAACATAACATTAAAAAAATTAAAAATATATATATATAAATATAAAACCCAAAAGACTCCACTCCCAAATTACTAGAACTCATACAGCAACTTAGTAATGTGGCAGGATACAAAATCAATGCACAGAAATCAGTTGCTTTCTTATACACTAACAACGCAACTGTAGAAAGAGAAATTAGAGAAATGATTCCATTTACAATAGCACCAAAAACCATAAGATACCTCGGAATAAACCTAACCAAAGAGGTAAAGGATCTATACTCTAGGAACTACAAAACACTCATGAAAGAAATTGAAGAGACACAAATACATGGAAAAACATTCCATGCTCATGGATGGGAAGAATAAACACTGTTAAAATGTCTAGGCTGCCCAGAGCAATCTATACCTTCAATGCCATCCCGATCAAAATTCTAATGACGTTTTTCAAACTGCTGGAACAAACAATCCTAAAATTTGTATGGAATCAGAAAAGACCCTGAATCGCCAAGGAAATGTTGAAAAAGAAAAACAAAGCTGGGGGCATCACATTGCCAGATTTCAAGCTATTACAAAGCAGTGATCACTGAGACAGCATGGTACTGGTACAAAAACAGACATATAGACCAATGGAACAGAATAGAGAACCCAGATATGGAACCTCAACTCTATGGTCAAATAATCTTAAACAAAGCAGGAAAAAATATGCAATGGAAAAAAGACAGTCTCTTCAATAAATGGTGCTGGGAAAACTGGACAGCTATATACAGAAGAATGAAACTCGACCATTCTCTAACACCCTACACAAAGATAAACTCAAAATGGATGAAAGATCTCAATGTGAGACAGGAATTCATCAAAATCCTGGAGGAGAACATAAACAGTAACCTCTTCAACGTTGGCCACAGCAACTTCTTTCAAGATGCATCTCCAGGGCGCCTGGGTGGCTCAGTTGGTTAAGCGACTGCCTTCGGCTCAGGTCATGATCCTGGAGTCCCAGGATCGAGTCCCGCATCGGGCTCCCTGCTCAGCAGGGAGTCTGCTTCTCCCTCTGACCCTCCCCCCTCTCATGCTCTCTCTCTATCTCATTCTCTCTCTCAAATAAATAAATAAATCTTTAAAAAAAAAAAAAGATACATCTCCAAAGGCAAGGGAAACAAAAGCAAAAATGAACTTTTGGGACTTCATCAAGATAAAAAGCTTCTGCACAGCAAAGGAAACAGACAACAAAACAAGGAGGCAACCCACAGAATGGGAGAAGATATTTGCAAATGATACTACAGACAAAGGGCTGATATCCAGGATCTATAAAGAACTTCTGAAACTCAAAACCCAAAAAACAAATAATCAAGTCACAAAACGGGCAGAAGACATGAACGGACACTTCTACAAAGAAGACATACAAATGGCTAATAGACACATGAAAAAATGTTCATCATCATTAGCCATCAGGGAAATTCAAATCAAAACGACACTGAGATACCAACTTACACCAGTTAGAATGGCAAAAATGGACAGGGTAAGGAACAACAAATGTTGGAGAGGTTGTGGAGAAAGGGGAACCCTCTTACACTGTTGGTGGGAATGCAAGTTGGTACAGCCACTTTGGAAAACAGTGTGGAGGTTCCTCAAAAATTTAAAAACAGAGCTACCCTATGACCCAGCAATTGCACTACTGGGTATTTACCCCAAAGACACAGATGTAGTGAAAAGAAGGGCCATATGCATCCCAATGTTCATAGCAGAAATGTCCACAATAGCCAAACTGTGGAAAGAGCCAAAATGCCCTTCAACGGATGAATGGATAAAGAAGATGTGGTCCATATATACAATGGAATATTACTCAGCCATCAGAAAGGATGAATACCCAACTTTTACATCAACATGGATGGGACTGGAGGAGATTATGCTAAGTGAAATAAGTCAAGCAGAGAAAGTCAATTATCATATGGTTTCACTTATTTGTGGAACATAAGGAATAGCATGGAGGACAGTAGGAGAAGGAAGGGAAAAATGAAGGGGGAAATCGGAGGGGGAGATGAACCATGAGAGACTATGGACTCCGAGAAACAAACTGAGGGTTTTAGAGGGGAGGGTGGTGGGGGGGATGGGTTAGCCTGGTGATGGGTATTAAAGAGGGCACGTACTGCATGGAGCACTGGGTGTTATGCACAAACAATGAATCATGGAACACTTCATCTAAAACTAATGATGTAATGTATGGTGATTAACATAATAAAATAAAATTAATAAAATAAAAATAAAAGCTGGGAAAGAGTATTAAAACCAATATGCTGGGATCGGAACCTACACTTCCTCCTTTGTTTTAGTAAATACATCAATGTGTTTTGTGACCTTTTTGATCAGTTTTGTGATTTCACTCTTCCTTTTTTCCTTGTAGTCCTTTCTACCGAGGGCTGAGGAGGGCAAACCACCACTAACATGGTGGTGTTAGGAACGCTTTTCCCTTCTCCAGCTCCAAATAACGCAAGGAAAGGACAGAAAACCGTGTCGTGAGTCGAAGCCGGGGGGCGGGGGGGGGGGGGGGATCCCAGGGGAAAAAAAGATGAGGTGGGTTAACAAGTTACTTCGCCCTCGGCCTCAAGGGGGAGAAACCAGGTCTCTGCGGAGGTGCGAGGAGGGGGGCCCGGGAGGTGGCAGGACGAGCGGGGAGCGCGTCCAGCCACAGCGGGTGGGGTGTGTTGGGGGGTGTCAGTCGTGGGCAGCGCTGGAAACCAGGAGCTGGAGGCCGGGGAAGGGAGGGCTTCGGGGACACCAAACGTTTTTAAGGGGTGGGATGGGGAGCGGACCTCAAGGGCAGGGGGACTTTAGGGCGCTGGAGAAGGACAGGCTCAGACCAGGCGCCACAAAGGCGAGCGGAACTGCTGTGGTACTGGCGGAGAGGGAGGGGACACCATTCCCTTCACCTGTCAATCGCCGCGGTCCCGGGCTCTGCCGGACTCCTCGGTTACACGGCAGGCGGAAATGACGCGACTCTACTTCCGTTCTGACGCGCCTCAGGCCCCGCCCCTAGCACCGCCTCCCTTGGCACCGCCCCCTCGGCCCCGCCCTTTCCTCCACCCACACCTCACTGTCTCCAGGGGATCCAAAACGGAAAAAAATGTGATCGCTGAGCCTCAGGTCTCACTGCGATTATTAATGGCTTTGAGGCAAAGGATTTCGAAAGGGAAACGAAAGTGAATTTCTGCGAATTGGGGCTAAACTTATTACAAAGTCCGGTCACTTCCACCAAGGACTTTAAAGATGTGGGAGAAATACACAAAATCTTTCATATTTAAGTAATTTATTCATTTGTAAATAAGAAAACGGATCCTTTTAGTGATTTGGCAGCTAGTGCTCGGGATCAAAGAATAAGTGACAGGTGATTGTAGTCCAATGCTATTTCTACATTTAAGCTCTTCAGCTGGTAAAGCCTAAACCAGTTTTATTTTACTTTTTTAAATTGAGGTATAATTGACATATACCATACATTAGTTTCAAGTGTACAACATGATTTGGTACTTGTTTATATTGCTAAGTGATCACTACAATAAGTGATAGTTAACCTGTCACCATAGGTAGTTACAGCAAAACCAGTATAATGGTGACCTGAACCAGCTAAGACACTGTACTTTGTGTATTTTCACCTGAAATAAGAGAAAATAATGGTGTCAAGCCCAAATTTCTTTCCCCATAATATTAGATTTCTACCTACTAGGGATTGACTGGTAGTGATAGAAGTTTGGGTTCATTTATTCATGAAGACACAATAAAATTAAAATTAGACCAACACAGTTACAGAAATACCAGGGCTATAGGTGGTTACAATCTTTCTTATTTTTTAATTTTTTAATTTTAATTTTTATTTTTTTTAAAGATTTTATTTATTTATTTGAGACAGAGAGAGTGAGAGACAGAGAGCACAAGAGGGAGGAGGGTCAGAGGGAGAAGCACACTCCCCGCCGAGCAGGGAGCCCGATGCGGGACTCGATCCCGGGACTCCAGGATCATGACCTGAGCCGAAGGCAGTCGCTTAACCAACTGAGCCACCCAGGCGCCCTCTTTCTTATTTTTTTAAAAGATTTATTTATTTATTTGAGAGAGAGCACCTGTGCAAGCAGGGGGAGGGGCAGAGGGAGAGAGAAAATCTCAAGCAGACTCCCCACTGAGATTGGAGCCCACCCGGGGCTCAATCTCAGGACCCTGAGATCATGACCTGAGCCGAAACCAAGAGTCGCGGCTCAATCCACTGCGCCACCCAGGTCCCCTGGTGGTTACAGTCTTTCTTAAAAACAGAAATTATCTTTTTCAAAATTTTATTTAGAAAATTTACTTCATTTAAAAAGTGTATATAATATGTCCCATGATATAAAATTCTAGACAGAGTAGATTTAAAAACAGCATAATGGAAAATATAAATATCCATTTTCTTATATATATCTTTTGTGCACTTACAGTCTTCCTGGGTTTACATTTTTCTTTATTTTACAATCTGATTCTTACTTGTAGCAAAAACAAATATCATAGACAGGTATATAGCAAAAAGTAAAAATTTCCTTCTCTCCATCTCTTCCTCAGATAGTGGTAAAATCCTTCCAAACTTTCAACCACACAAATATATTTTTGTTTTTTACATTCATGGTTTCACATTATACATGTTGTTCTGTAACTTAGTTTTTTCACTGAATACTGTAATGGAAATCTTTCATGATAGTACATTTAGGGCTGCTTTTTAAAAATAGTTGTATTACATTCCTTTATATATCAATAACTATTTAGCTAGTTCCCTCATGAGAGCTAATCAAGGTGCTTCCAACATTTTACTAATAAAAACAATACAGCAACAAACATGCTGGCAGCTTATTTAGATAAATTCACTTATTGTATTTACCTGCATATTCCTCTCTTCCTTTTAAAAATCAGATTTTTTAAGGAAAGTTGAAGTATTAAAAACAACTAATGGAATATGTAGATATTGTGTGAATTCGAAGGGAAAAAAATCAGGGTTTTAGTAAAACGATTTTATTAAGTTATATTCGTGTCAACAAACCAGAAAGCCATGTAAAACTAACTCTTGTTAAAGACTATGACTGTGCTGGGTGGATGGAAAATTATCTAGATTGACTGCTGACTCCCTATGGAATTTTTTGAGGGCTCCACTTACTTTCTTAAACATATCCTTTTCCTGTTCTAAGCTCAGAAGCTGCGTGGTGTATCTCAGTTCACTTTTAACTATCAGGCTTGTTTGGCAGCAGATGATAGACATTTTAAAAATTTAAGATGTGGGCGCCTGGGTGGCTCAGTTGGTTAAGCGACTGCCTTCGGCTCAGGTCATGATCCTGGAGTCCCGGGATCGAGTCCCGCATCGGGCTCCCTGCTCGGCGGGGAGTCTGCTTCTCCCTCTGACCCTCCTCCCTCTCGTGCTCTCTGTCTCTCATTCTCTCTGTCTCAAATAAATAAATAAAATCTTTAAAAAAATAAAAAATAAAAAAATAAAAAAAATAAAAAAAAATAAAAATTTAAGATGTTTCTAACAAGATGCCATCAGCCACAAGGAAGGACCTGGGGTTGGTGGGCAGGCTGGTGTGAAGGAAGGCAAATTTTCTTTCAATAATCTCAGCTTTGACAAGCCCCAGACTCCATGTACAATATATGCAGGACATGGATTCATTAGTGTATGGTCCTAGTACAGCTGCCCTTTATTTTATACTCGTGACCTTGTACTTTTGTGGGTGTACAATTGGTGGGTGTTTTCCTTGGGTACTTGGTTTTGACGATTCTGTTCTCCTAAATGTGGTTTTGCTCTTGTCTAGTTACACAATTCTGTGTTCTTCTTGAACCTTCATAAAAGGATATGACTACCTTAAAGTGGTTACATTGTTTCTCAGATTAAGTAAATATTTCAATTAGGGGAGTAAATATTTTTATACTGGGAGTGTAGCTAGCTCTTGCTTCGGGAGTGTGTTCTTTAGTGGAGTGAATCTTGGATTGGTGGTTTTACAAGGAGTGTGTAATGAATCTCTGGGCTATAAGTCTTTAAGTTTTGACCCTGTCCAAAAAGGCAAAGGAAATTTCCAAAGTTTTTCTTGTAGCAATTCACTGAAACAGAGGAGGGGTGCACTCAGGATGCTTGCCTTTCTTATCAGCTTATTGGTGAATCCCAAGGTACCAGGCTTACTGCTGCTTCTGGCAGATGTTTTCAAGTGTCCCTTTTAAAGATTCAAAAAAGTACTAGAGATCCCCACCTGACTGTAGTTACCTTCCATCTATTCAATACATAGATAATGAGTGGTACCCACAGAAAGTTCTCATCTACTAATAATTATGTTGTCCTTGATGGGTGTACCACCCAGATAGATTGGGAATTACTAGCTTATGGCATAATTTCTCCTTAATTTTGTCTCAGTCCTTGATAAAACTTAGCTAAAAAGATACGAGTGAGCTTTAAAAACCGTGGCCTCCACAGTCTCCAAGCTACCTTTAACAAGGGAGCCATCCTTTTCTTCCTTAACTATTCTTATCAGACCTTCCAAGAGGAGGCTTGCTATTACTCAATGTCCAAAGCAGCTTGTAGGAGGTGAAATTACGCAGTAAGCGGGGAAGAACCCTGCACAAACGGTTTTTCTTCATAATTGGAAGAGGGAGAGGGAAAGTGAACAAGGGATAGCAACAAACTAAGAAATATGGTATACATCATTTCATAGTGATTTCTTTTTTTTTTTTTTTACAGTGATTTCTATTTTGGCAAGCCTGTCTGCTATGACCCGCAAGTTTTCTGTTTAGAGCAACTGTGATATTGATGATAGCAGTTTTTACACAAAAGAGAAGAATATTCAAAGAGGCCTGTGATACTTGCTCGCATCCTGCTCCGCCCGTCCACGTGTCTCCAGCACCGCGCTGCCTACAGCGCGGCCTCTGTCCGAAGGCGTGCATTGCTGTGTCACTGGCATTCACAGGAGTGTCCGTGTGAGCTGACTCAGAGCTCTTCTCTGAAAGGTCCTTCCCGGTGACACTGGCAGAGGGACGTGTTATCATCTGGCTGAGGAACGAGTTCCATCCCATCACGTATTTCGGGTCTGCTGGACTGGCGCTCAGCGTATTTCTGAAATGCATGTTTGAAGGCAACTGAAAGATTAGTCCACGCTTCATTCCACTGGACCCTCCCTACCCCACTCAGGCCAGTGTTTCTAGCTGCTCTGTATCTTGAGACTAAACACCAAAGGTCTGGTTTATTCCGGTCCTGAAGTTGCATTTTAACTTCAGGTTTTAGAGGCACTAAGTGCAATATTTCAGAGTCTAACAAGGAACCCCAATCCACAATCTGATGTGTACCTAGGAAGCCTCCACAAAAGGCACGTCAAGCCAAGGGTCCCTACTTGAAATAGTGGCACCTCTTGGCATTCATTCTCCACTTATTAATGAATAATTACATTTGTTGAACACTCAAATCAACCAATAGAGATGATAAGCATCTCAAAATAAAGCTGGCAGTCCCCCACACCCTTCCCTTTAGGCTCATAGTCACATACGTTTTGTAAATGGTGACAGACCTGTGTAATGTCCCTCTACTTTAGCCACTGACTGAAATATTCCTATAAATTAGACTTTGATTCAGTGGTTCTATATACATTTAGCTGTAGATTCCTGGTGTTGGGCCAAACCCAACAAAATACTGACATGAGCAGAGGAACCTAATGAGTATTTTAGAGGGAGAAACTCCTACTATTAATATTATAGGTAGACTAACAGAGGGCATACAACTCATTCAAGGGAAAGGCTGATTTTAGTAAATGGTGAAATTTATCATTTTTATTTTTCTAAGGGTAATATCCACAGGCATCTGAAGAAATGTGCTTTTTTTTCTGTCCACAGAAAAATAAGTTTAGGTTAAAAACAAAAAAGCATTGTTTCTTTTTTTCTTTTCTTCCTGTCTAGAATTTACTGTGTGAAACACAAGATAGTTACCCAAAGAACCAATTCTTAGATTCCCAATAAACACTTGCACTTCAGTAATTAGGCCTGAGGTGTTAAAACCATTATAAATATATCTCACTTGTTTGTTTTCTACAGCAAACTAAATATCTGCTGTCCATCCTACACTGTGATAGCAAAAGCATGAATCTTTAGTAAGAAGAACAAAGAGGCAGACCTTTTGAGCAGAGAGATAGATGTTAATGATCTCTAGTCCAACCTCCTTATTTTCTAGATAGGAAGATGGTCTCTGAGGTTCAGAAAATACCTAAATTAGGAATTCCATAAGGCATTTAATAAAAAGACTGGGAGGTAAGAGGAGCTTTTAATTTGTATTCGCAAGGGTTCTATGCATTGTTTTTCGTAACAGTGAGTGGAGATACAAATATGGAGACCACAAAAGGTCTCAGCGCTATTCCCATCTCTCCACAGGCTGGGCCAGTCCTCGGCTTCCAGAGAGTTCCACGGGCTGACGCTCTGAACCCTTTCAGGAAGTGAGGCACTCAGGCCCAGCATGGCGCGTGAGGATGCCTGAGCCGGCGGGGGTGGGGGGGTGGGGGGGTGGGGGGGGGACAGCCGGTGGTAACTAACCTGGAGCACCCTGTAATAATAGCAGTAAACCCGGTGGGGCTGCAGCAACTCCCTAGCAGCCAATTGCCCTTCTTTTGCAATCTTCTTGGCTTCTTCATCATTTTCCTGAAAGGGTTAAACACACACACATACACACGCACTGAATAAAGAGTACTCCTGTGACCCCCCAAAGAAGGCTACTGGTGCGTATGAAGCAGGACAGAGATGGGGTTGAATGTGACCAGCATGGGACGTGGGACATGAGGAAGATAATTCGGAGCGAGGCTCTGAGAAATCCAAGGTACCTTCCTAGAGCCCCATGTTACACAGAAGTGGTCACACATGTTTGGACCCCGGTCCACAGGCCCGGAGTGCCCTCCCCGCCATATGCGCATCAGACATGCAGTCTCTCTTGAGCCTACCCTGGTACTGTCCTGGCTACCCGAGAAATTTAGGGCTCATCCTCTGTCCCCCCTTCCTAGAGCCTCTCTGCTTGATATTAAAATACAATCTGGAGTAGATTTAATCCTTTTTCCTGTTATAACGTCTCTTAAAAACTCCATTTTAATATGCAGCCAGAGCCCAAAAGTTGTCATAAAACGGTACCTATGAAGGCCTATCTTATTGCTGTAATCATAAATTCAGCCATTTGCACCCACAGGCTGTTCCTTCAGTACCAGGAACGGTCACTGTTTCTAATTACACTTCGGAAAATAGCTAATATTCTACTGTGCTGCCTTTTAGAAAAGCCACTGACAAGCAATCCTGACTCTTTATAAAGGGCCACAGAAATGATTCTGCCTCAGGCACCCAGTCATTTGCATACCCGAATATTGCTTCTCAGAAACTTAGAAGTAGAATGAAGTCTTACCCGCAGAAGGGTAAATTTTTATAGTTTCACAATAAAACACAACAGCTTTGTAATATGTTTCTTTTTTTAAAAAAGAATTCTTATTTCATGGGAAACTTGTGATTCTTGGGATGTTGTATATAGCATGCATTCATTGTGTCTTTTTCCTAACTGGAGAAAAGAAAAGGGTATCATAATTGCCTCCAGTGTCTTCTTGTGCATAGAGCACTCTAGCCCTGGGATTTTCAATCTGTCATTTGCATGTGGTGTGTTTTTGCTTGTGTGTATATGCATGAATAGTGATTCCTTCAGAAAAACCTATATTCTACGTAATGCTTGTCTTTAAATCTTCTAAACCTTCTAAAAATCCTCCAAAATGTTGATAAAGGGTATTAAAATGATCCTGATGTTGATTCTTTAGATATTTCAAGGGAACAAAAATTTCAGGAAATCACATTTCTTTTGACTAAATTATGTCAAGTTAAATTGGGTCATGATGGAACTCATGTAAATAATCCTGGTAAGTTTGTTATTGCCTCAAGAAATTAAAATTGCAGAAAACGTACCTTGGCCCACTTAACTTTCTCTAGTAAATCACTGAGATTTCTTTTAATTGGAACATAATGTTTCCAAGGCTTCAGTGCCACATAGAAATGTTCATAATATGTCGAGTCCTGCTTCAAAACCAAACTGTCGCCCAGCATGAGGTACGGATATCTGTAAGCTGCCACGGTCCCATCCACATTCACTTGATACTTGTACTAAAACAGTAAAACAAACATAAACAAAGGAGACACTTAACAGCCATTTGCTTCGCTTCTGCTTGTCATCAACACTGTCATAATAAATATAAAAGAATTATTTTCCACGTTCCGACTTCAGTGTTTAAAAGTTTTATACGTTATTTTGTACCTCACGTTTTCTCTTTGTATTGAAATCATAAACAGCCTTGAGCAGGTCGATTTTAAGAAACACAATGCGTTTAAGGATAAGACAAATAATTTTAGGAAATAGGAATACCTATTTCAACTCTGTGTAATGGATTCAGGTTTCTGTGACCTGGTAGGAAAATGTTTCAAAAGCTGTAGGTTTATTAAAGCTGACTCCTGGTAACAATTTACACTTTCATGTATACATTATTTCATTGGTTCCTTCTTCCCAGGTAAGTATGAAAAAGGAAAGCCTTATCTCCAGTGTTCAGTTCTAGAGTCGAGGAGACAGAAACCTGGAGAACTTTAGGGACTAGTGTGGTGTTAGCAACACAAGATGTACCCCATTTACCCATTTGCTGGATTAATAAGCCTCGCTTTACATTTCAAAATCACTTTTCATGGGAATTAAACCTCACTTGATCATAGTAATGTGAAGCAAGTATTATCATAAGCTCTTTCTTTTTTTCCTCTTTTTCCAAATGAGAAAATCGGTGTTCAGATAAATTTATAAACCTCTATTCTCTGAGCTCAAATCCAGTGTTCTTTTCATTATAACACACTGAAACAAACAGGATATACTCATGGATTTAGTCATTAATTTTTTCTTTAGTAATCGGTACCAAAGAGTTCTCTAGCCAGTCAGATTTTGTCACATTGTTCACATCCCTACATCATGACACAAGTTTATCACTTCATATCCATACAAGAAGACAAAAACACATACCTTAAAGAAATCAAAGAAACCTATCAATTTAGCTTTTCCAAGCTCCTTTTCTTTCTCTTGGAAAAAGAAATATCCTGTAATTCCTGCATCTAGGAGCTCTGGATTTTCCTTGGACAGCTGTACCAACTGGAGCCTCTCTTCTCGGCTATCTCTACCTCTGAAGAAGGCTTTCTCTGTTTTATTGATCCAGGAAGGCCCTAGAAGTTTGAAACCATAAAAAAAATATGATTATGAACTTGACATTTATAAAAACCGTAAGCATACTCCTCTGTAATCTATCTAAATTATCACTTAAGATAATGTAACTAAGTAACAGCTACATCTTTAATCCCTAGGTTGTTCAGAATTTTGAGCACATCACTTTTGAATACAGGAAAGACTTCGTCTAATAAGCTGTGAAATGAAAACATGTATATATAGCCCAACTGTGTGTGTGTGTGTGTGTTTCTTTCTAGATGGTATTCTAGAAGAATTAGTCTATTTCTATTATTCTAAAGAGTAACACCTGTTACTATTTGATAAATCATAAAACAGAAACTGGAGGGGGTCACTTTCTCTAGTATTTTAGCACACTTCCCAGGAATTCACTGTTCCCCAATAAAAAGTCAGTTTTCATTTTATGTTACCTTTAGGTAGTTTGTAAAGAGTCTCTGGTCGCAACTACTAAACGAGTCTGCCAGGACTGTTTCTAAACAGGAACAGAGGTTGTAAAGACAGGCAGGGTTTATTCTACTCAGGGAGTTTGGTTTAATTCTAGAGTGTGTTGTGCCATAAATGTAAAGCCATCAAAGGATGGGGGGCCGGGGAGGAATTCAGATTTTGAAGGATCAAGCAAGGCAGAAAGAGGAAAGGGGAAAATTCCTTACTAAGTGTTGGAGGTAGTAATACCCAAATTCTGCTGCTAGCATAATTCTCTCACATCTGCATATCATTTTATATTTTTCAAAATGCTCTCTTCATCCAGCAATATAAGGGCATCGGAGTCAGCATTAAGTGACAATTTTACCAAATATATATTTTCAAATGGTATTTACAAATGACCAACTCAAAGGAGACTCAGTTACAGTAGGTTTGGACAACAAGCCCAACCCACATACCTAATTTTTGGATTAGAAGAATCCTACACTGCTCTTTCTTCTTGGTTAGAAAATAAGAACAATGGTATTTAAATATATATTTTTGTTCTCTCCAACTGAACATTCCCTTTTTACCTCTGTTTTTCCTTTGAGAATAAACTTTAATTTACCTGTATTTCCCTGAATAGAGAGGAGATCATTGGTGACACCCCTCATTGCTTCGAGTGTGGAGTGGGTGATGTCATACGTGGGAAGGATAACATCCCGTGAATCCAAGGAGCCGCACCATGAAATGACAGGTAAAGGGCCAGGGGTTTCATTGACTTTTCGATGCTCCAGAGGCCAATCTCCAAGATTAATATAAAATTCTATATCGGGGAGAAGGACCTAAATAAACAAAAGAAGAAACATCAGTGCTGGGAAGACCTCAGTTTTAGGTACTAAATGCTTCCGTTCTTTGGCTCCTTAAAATATGCCTGATAAAAGTGAACATGTGAAAACAGCAGAAGAGAGAAGAATGCCTCTCAGTCATCAGCAGTATCAGAAAATCAAGGGTGAGGACGGTACATGGCAAATTCACTTAACCAGGAGGAAGTACCCTTTGTTCAGAGGTGGCATTTAAAATTGCTTAGTATTGGGGAGCCTGGGTGGCTCAGTCATTAAGTATCTGCCTTTAGCTCAAGTCATGATCCCAGGGTCCTGGGATCAAGCCCCAAATTGGGCTCCCTGCTCAGTGGGGAGTCTGCTTCTCCCTCTGCCCCTCCCCCTGCTTGTTCCCTCTCTCTCTCTCGTTCTCTCTGTCAAATAAATAAATAAAATCTTTAAAAAAAATTGCTTAGTATTGGGGTGCCCAGCTGGCTCCGCTGGTGGAGCGTCCAACTCTTGATGATGGGGTCGTGAGTTCGAGCACTGTTTTGGGCAGAGACTACTTAATGAAAATTTTTTTTAATTATCAAAATTGCTTATTATTGTAGAAGTGGACATGATATGGAAAGGTATGAGTAAGTGGCTTTAAGAACCCTTTCTGTCAGCTGCCTACCTGAGAATCGACAAGGTTAGAGGAAGCCCTTCTTTTGCTTCACTACCAAACCTCCACATCACGTCTACCTTTGCTTCTGGACTCGGCCACTCCGTGTGCACCTCCGTGGTCAATGCCCTACGCGAGGCCCTTCTCTCATTTCTCGCCTGGATTGTTGCAGGAGCTTGCTCACTAGGTGTTCTGATACTAGGCTCTCCCCACTCTGATCTGCTTTCACCTTGCTGCCCAAATTCCTAAAACCCAAATTAATGTCACCACCAGGGTCAATGGAACCTAAAGCCTACAGGACAAGGTCTAACGTCTCTGGCCAGAAAGCAAGGCCCTGTCACCGTGTTCCACCTGAGCGTGGGCCAGTAAACTTCAGGCTACTCTCTGAAAATGCAACCCAGTCTCCCATGTACTTCCCTTCTCACTTGGAATATTCTTCTCCTACTTATTCCCTTGGCAGTCTCCTTTCTCGTCCTTCGAACCCAGACCAAATGTCACCTCCTCCATGGCTCGCCCTCCTCAGGCAGTTTCACCCGGGGGGCCTGCTTTTCTTAGAGGCCTATCACGTTGAGGTACCACTATTTGTACTCACATCCTACTCTAACTTCCAAATAACAAAAAACAAGTCCCACTAGAGTAGGTGGCTCAAAGTCCAGAGATGAGTCTCATTTATCTTGGATTTCTTCCCAGCCACTGGGCAAAGAACCTAGAACAAGAGGGAAGGCCAAGGGGTGTGACGATTCACCCTCCTCGCTTCCCTCCTCTCACTTATCAGCCCAATAAACTCCACACCAGGAGTTCTCACTACAGAACAGGGTTTTTCAATCTCCGCAGGACTGACATTTGGGTCTGGGTAATTCTTTGCTGTGGGGGCTGTTCTGTGCACTAGAGGATCTGCTGGTAGCAACCCCGAGTTGTGACAACCAAAACTGTCTCTAGACATCGCCCACGTCCTCTAAGGGACAAATGCATCACTCGTAAAGCCACTGCCATCGTGAGTCCAAGGTGGGAATACAGGGCAGTAGGCCAGGAAGAAGGCACCCCCTTTATGATCAAGTATCTTTAATATGCTCATATGGTGGGCCAGTGGGGATGGTGCGGGGGGGGGGGGGGCTGCTATTTAAAATAAGAATTAAAAAATAATAATAATAAAATAAAATAAGAATTGGTTGCAACCCCACATTCAGCACACTTGGGAAATTGTATACCTCATATCACCGAAGTTGACTCTTGGTTTAGAAAACTACCTTGACAGTCTTTCTGGGTGGGAAAGACAGAAAATGCTCATCCTCACCCTTCACTCTGCATGGTCAGGAAGGAGGAAGAACAAAAGGCAATTCGAGCTGCTCTGCTTAAGAGTGCAGTAAATGGGGGCGCCTGAGTGGCTCAGATGGTTAAGCGTCTGCCTTCGGCTCAGGTCATGATCCCATCGTCCTGGGATCGAGCCCCGCATCGGGCTTCCTGCTGAGCGGGGAGCCTGCTTCTCCCTCTCCCTCTGCCTCTCTCCCTGCTCATGCTCTCTCTCTCTCTCTCTCTGTATCTCTGTGTCTCAAATGAATAAATTAAAAAATCTTAAAAAAAAAAAAGTGCAGTAAATGTGGGAAGAAGGGTTCAGTAGAGGGGTGGGGGTGCAGGGAAGTGAGAAGTCTTCTGAGAGATAGAGGCCCAGCTGTATTCACTAAGAAGCCAAGACCTGAAGCCCAATGATGGGCAGTGAGAAATTCCCAGAGGCAAGGATGACTGAGTCTGATTAATAGAGGGAATGTTTATTTTTAAATGTTAGGGTTTTTGTTGGAGTGCTTTTTACTATGCACTGGTACAAAATAACCTCTCTGTTACTAGAACCTTCAACAAAATGTGCCATGCATGCTATCTTTTGAGGCGCTTAGGGTAAAACAAGGAAAAAGTGGTCGAAGTTCAAGTCATTTTGAGGTGATAAGAACAAAACAGCTGCAGAAACTGGTATCTGAATGGGAGGAGTATTCACCACAACAGAGAATTTCAAGAAGTGACCTCCAGGGGCACCTGAGTGGCTCAGTTGGTTAAGCGTCCGACTCTTGATTTCTGCTCAGATTGTGATCTCAGTGTTGTGAGAATGAGCCTTGCATCAGGAATCCACACTCAGTAGGGAGCCTGCTTGAGGATTCTCTCTCTCTCCCTCTCCCCTCCCACCACTCTGTGTATGTGTCTATCTCTCCCAAATAAATACAGAAATCTCAAAAAAAAGAGTGACCTTGAGGCTCAACATGTCTGGGAGTCCACAGAAACCTTGGAAGTGCTCTGTAGGACCTACTTGCCTGAGATAGGGGCTCAAGCCACTTAATTTACAGGAAAGAAAGATCCATAAAGGGGGGAGAATTTATGCACACTCAGGTGGTGGACATCTTAAATTCACATTTCCAAGCTTGGAATCCATTTCCATCCTTTGCCATTGTTCTAAGCATCTCAAAGTTACAACGAAATAAGTAAACTCCAGTTCACCCTTGAACAATGTAGGGGTTAGAGGGGCCAACACCCACACAGTATAAAATTTATGTATAAACCTTGAATCCCCCAAAACTTAACAACTAGTAGCCTACTATTGACTAGAAGCCTTACCAATAACATAACAGTTGATTAACACATCTTTTGTATGTTATACGTATTATATACTGTGTTCTCACTATAAAATCAGCTAGGGAAAAGAAACAGTAAATTAAGAAAATCATAAGGAAGGAGCGACTGGGTGGCTCAGTCGTTAAGCGTCTGCCTTCGGCTCAGGTCATGATCCCGGGGTCCTGGGATCGAGCCCCGCATCGGGCTCCCTGCTCGGCGGGAGGCCTGCTTCTCCCTCTCCTACTCTCCCCGCTTGTGTTCCCTCTCTCTCTCTCTCTCTCTGTGTCAAATAAATAAATAAAATCTTTAAAAAAAAAAATCATAAGAGAAATACTATTTACAGTACTGTCATGTATTTATAAAAAAATGTCCATCTGTAAGTGCACTCATGCAGTTCAAACTCATGTCATTTAAGGGTCAACTCTGTATTGTTTCAGAACCAATGAATTCATTCTCATACCTTTCTTGCCAGTGACAGCAAAATCTCGTCTGAGAACATTTTGAAGTCTGTGTATTTCCCTAAAGATCTCCGGTAGACACGGTTATTGAGAATCGTGTAGTGAACAATGGCACCCCTCTCATCCCCAAACCTTTTTGGAACCTCATTTAGCATCTGCTGGAGATTGATGCTGGGGAAGGAAGCGAAATCCTTTGCAATCTGTGGTTCCTTGGTTGGACAAGAAAGAGTTTTCTGCCAGGCCTGAGGATCCTCTTCAGGACACTCACAGTACTCATGGTACACTGGTCCTAGGGAAGACAAAGACATGAGTAATGCCATACTCCATTAACAAACACCTCCACACAGGGGGTTGTTTCTGCCCCTGATAGGAACATGGGACGACTTCTTGCTGAATTTGAAGATTCTCCAGGCAGGGATAATATATATTTATATTATATATTTAATATATTTACAATATATATTTAATAATAATAACACAATATATTTAAATATAAATATATTTAATATTTAATAAATATATTTAAAATATATTTAACTTAATATAAAAGTATAAAGATTAACATAATTTTACAAAAACTTTTAAAAAATTATTTATGTTTCTTGAGGATTTCTACTTCAGAACAACATGAGTAATATGGACCAATTTACCCTTCTACCTGAGACTACCAAAAAAAGAGACAAAATATATGAAACAGTTTTTAAGCCACCGGACATGAGGCAGTGAAGGACAGTGAGTCTGAGAGATGGGAAATAGATGAGGTGAGCCCTACAGTTTGTAAACTTACTGCCTAAGGGAGTTTCCAGGTTATGGAAACGGGGAGAAGTGTAGGCAGAGCCCAGCAGTCTCACTGAGTTGAGGGGACAGAGCTGGGTGTCCAGGGAGAACAAGGCAGCTAGCATTTGTAGGACACATTCCCTGAGAGAACCACACAGCCAGAAAACTCCAGAGATCTGCAAAAGATTCCCCTTCAAGTATTTAGGGTTTCTGAGGAGTGTATATAGGTGAGGAAATTATCCAAGACAGGGAAAGAACCATCCAGAATGACTGGACGCAACAATACCCACTGGTCATACAGGGTTGGGAATAGTACCTGTTCACAGCAGACCGACTGGGAAGCATCCTAATTGCTGGGGCTTAGGGTAGAGTAGGCAGAGAGGTATTGCCTGAGTGGTGGGGAATAATTAGCCCCAGACTAAACATGGTTCTGGTCTTGCCTAATGAATTGTAAAAGCAATTTGAAAGGTTCAAATTATTTCCAAGTAATTTCACTGCATTCCAGAAAAATGCTCAAGAAGATAAGAAAGCGACAAGAAATGAAAAATACACTGGATACAATTAATGGCAAGTTGGACATTGCAGAAGGAAAGATTAGGGAACTTAATGATGTAGCAACAGAAAGTATACAAAATGAAATGGAGAAAAAAAAAGAATTTTAAAAATGAAAAGAGCATCACTGAGCTGTGGGATAGTTTCAAGCCTGATACAGGGGTAACTGGAATTGTGGGAGGAACTCTGGAGTAGAACAGAAAAAAATATTGAAGAAATAATGGCCAAAATTTTTCTGGATTTAATGAAAACTATAATCCCAAAGATCTAAGAAGCTCCATGAACCCAAGCACAAGAAACATGAAGGAAATTACACCAAAGCACATAATAATCAAACTGTTCAAGAGACTTAAAGAGAAAACCTTGAGCAGTACAGAGGAACAGTAGATATACTGGATGTCACATATATGGATGTCAGCAGATACACTGTTGGAAACAATGCAAGTAAGAGGACAGTGGAGTAACATCTTTTTTTTTTTTTTTTAGAATTTCTAAAGGAAAAAAAAAAAAGAGGATGAGAGTTTTACTTGAGCCCCAATTAGGACAGCTGCATAGGACAGGCAATCTTTACAAAGAAGAGAGTGTCCTGATAAAGGAACTTTTGGTATAGGGTTATATACATTTTTTACATAAAAAGTTACACATTTTTAGACAAAAGACATTGTAGAAAGACACTACAGTTCCCGATCTTAAGTTTCTAGTATATGTAGGGCTGTATGGCTTTAATGTTATGGGAACCAGGGAAGTTTCTAGTGGAGTAACATCTTTAAAGTACTAAAAGGAGACAAAACCAACCTTGTTAATCTACAATTCTATATTTAGTAAAAATGTCTTTCAATAATCTCAGGAAACAAACTGAGGGTTGCTGGAGTCGGGGGGGTGGGAGGGATGGGGTGGTTGGGTGATGGACACTGGGGAGGGTATGTGCTATAGTGAGCGCTGTGAATTGTGCAAGACTGTTGAATCTCAGATCTGTACCTCTGAAACAAATAATGCAATATATGTTAAGGGAAAAAAAAGAAGAAGAAAATAGCAGGAGGGGAAGGATGAAGGGGGGGAAATCGGAGGGGGAGACAAACCATGAGAGGCGATGGACTCTGAGAAACAAACTGAGGGTTCTAGAGGGGAGGGGAGTGGGAGGATGGGTTAGCCTGGAGATGGGTATTAAAAAGGGCACGTTCTGCATGGAGCACTGGGTGTTATGCACAAACAATGAATCATGGAACACTACATCAAAAACTATGTGATGTAATGTATGGTGATTAACATAACAATAAAAATTTTTTTAAAAAATGAAGGCAAAATAAAGACTCTTTCAGACATTCAAAAGCTGGGAGAACTCATCACCAGCATTCTCACACTAAAAGAAATGATAATAGGGATCATTGAGCAGAAGGCAAATGGTACTAGAAGGAAATGTAGATTATATAAAAGAATGAAGAGTGCCAGACATGTTAACCACCTGGGTAAATACACAAGATTTTCTTGCTTATCATTCAAATTTCTTTAGTTTTTTTCCCGCAAAATTCCAAGTTAAGATGAGCTCCAGGAGTGCCTGGCTGGCTTGGTCAGTAGAGCACGTGACTCTTGATCTTGAGGTAGAGAGTTTGAGCCCCATGTTAGGTGCAGAATCATTTACAATTGAGCTCACTCTTTTGTACATGACTTCAAGGTCATCATAAGCCATTTTGAAAGTCATGGGGTCTACACATATAAGGCTGGCTCTGGATTGTGTAATATAATCACTTACCTTTCAAAATATAAGGAGACTGAGCCACATGTTCATCACCATAAAGGACCTCTATCTTCAGCCCTTCGCTGACAGTTTCATACATCCTATATCGCATCAAAAATGTCCCATCATTCCTGTCCAAAGGTTTGGGGACGTGAATCCGGACTAATTCTTTAGGTGAAAGAGATTTGATTACTACTTTGAATAGTGTTTGACCTGAAAAAAAAAATATATATATATATGTAACTACTATTTCATGGTTATTTTGTCTTACCAATTATTGGATAGGTGTCTCTACACCCAAGTTACTTTTTTCTGTACCATCAAAATAATAACAAAATAATTTTAGTTTGGAAGGTCCTTGAGACCAGGAACCATGTCTGGGTTGTGTCTTGAAACCAAAGATCTGAATCAACATTTGATTCGTTAGTCATTCAATAAAGATATACTGAATGAACAAAATCAGTTCGTTAAAAAAGCAAGGAAGAGATGAACTTTTTGCCTCTTTGCTCTTTTCTCCTTTGGGTAGGTTTAAAGCAGCCCAGATACTTAAAAATCTAAAAACTCTTAGAATGACAGAGCTCCAAGACGATCCAACTTTCTTCTGTAAAATATATACCAGCTTTCTTTGTAAACCATTTTAATACCTAATAACCCTCATTTCTAAGGAACTTTCCCTTTGGTTAATCCAAATTTCCAGTTATACTTCTAAGCCTATTTCCCTAAGTAGAGAGAGATTATAGTTAGTTACTAGACTGTGCACAAATATCAGACACACACTTTCACACACCTTTGTAAATACTAGAGTTTACTTCTCTAAGCTTATTTCCTCAGGTTGAATCGAAAGTTATACTAGGACGATCTAACATCATTTTCAACTCCAAAATTCTGTGGGTTTTCTGGAAATTCTAGGGTAAATAACACCCACTTAGTAAACTTTCCCTTCTCTTTTTGTAGTATATGAGCTGACTGATTCAGGCTTTGAAACAATACTGTTGTGATTAATATCATTGTGATCCAGAAATAAATGTTGCACTATCTTTCTTCCCAGACTCCAGTGGATGTATCTGCACTCAGCGCAGATCTGATCCTCAAGAGCTTTGAGAATAAAGATCAGTTAATGTCCTAACCACAGTTAATCATAATATCAAAGGCAAATGTTTTTTAAAAAGTGGTGAATCCTCTGAAATTCACAGACCTGGCAAAAAATAGTGGTGATAAAAGTAGTTTTTCATTTCACATCTATCGTATTATCAAATTAAGCATATTTAATATATATTTTTTGAAATTACTGAAAAAAGTTTCTTTCTCCTACTCTTAGTTTCTAAATCTTGTGAGTGAAGTTTCTACTCTCTTTTGGTCTTTAAGGGTTTTATTTTTTTCTTGTGGGTCAGGAGAGGTGTTCTTCAGTCTCTTCAATTTCATAATCGTAATGTAGTGTCTGATAACTTTCTGTTAAATAACACATTTTGACATCCTTTAAACAAGTGTGATAAAATTATGAAAGAAATCTGCTAAAATAAATGAATTGTAATAAACGCAGAGGATGTTGTAAGAAAAAAGGTAATAATTTAATGTGAAATTATTTAAAATGTTACCGTTTACCTGAAATGCTTAAATGAAATACATTGGTTATTGCCCTGTGTTATTTCTCACTTGATTTTAGAAAGACAGAGCAGTGTGGCAGACTGCAAATCAGGCAGGCAGAGCCTGGGGACCAGGAGGCAATTCCTATAATCTTCTCCCCAAAGTGGAACCAGTACAGAAAAGTTTTAGTGTCTTGGTCAAATAGTCCTGTTCTCCATAAACTTATGATTGTAAATAAACAAAACAGATATAAGACAAACATATTAATGATTCTGTGATCATTTTGGAAAGAAATGGATTTATAGAAAAAAACTAGTTCCAAAATGTTTCATTATTCTTAAATTCAAAGTATTGGACTAGATCTGTATTGTCTCTTCCAGTTATGAATTTTTTTGTCCCTGAAATAGCATTTAAGAGCTACATTTCAAAATAAATGTATAAAACTAAAATAGAGCCATTGGAAATACATATTTTAAATGTTCAGGTATTTTCACAGGAATCTTTCATGCCTGTGTTAGAATCAACACAAAATAACAATGGTCAGGGCTGAAATAGAAAGAAGCAATTTTAACCTCATAAAAGAGAAAATGAGAAGAGTGCAATTTGAAATTGCTTCAAATGGAAGGAATGTGAATTCTCATTTGCCCCTAGGGCTAACATAATGGAACAGACTTGAAGCTCAGCTTGAATTTTTCTACTTCATCAATTCAAATCTCTTTAGGAGAGATCGCTAATGAAGTGAGAATGCAGGGACTAGGTAGATGAAGGAGGTTAGCAGTATCAGAGTCCTGTACCATTAGACTCAGAACTTTTGAAGACTTTAGCACTTATCACGGGCCAGTCCCTGAGCTTGAGATTTTCCTTTGCATTTTCTACCTTATTTGTTTCCTACAAGAATTTGTAACGTGGGCATTGTCACCTCCATTTTAAGATCAGGAAACCAAGCCTCCAAGAAGTGAAGTAACTTGCCCAAGTTCACCTATATGTGAGTAGCAGAGCCAATATTTGAATACAGCTTGAATCCTTCTTTCAAAGCCCATCCTGCATCCACCTTGTCATGCTGTGTCACGTTAGTGTATTGGTTTGCAGAATTCAGAATTGGAGGAATAACCCCTGGCACCCTTGGAACAACAGAGTCACTGTCTTTCCTGTTGTTTAGGAAGATTATTAAGGCTCTGCAATCCTAACAAGCGTCAACCCCACATGGCCAAGGAAACCGAGTCCCAGAAGGCCACGCTGTTTTGCCTTGAGGCTACATGTCACTCTCCAAAAATGCCTTGTGGGCCTGCTGACCGTGGATGGATGCTCTCCAGGAACTTACTGAAAACTGATGCACGACAATCATATGACAGGAGATTTAATTAAACAGAAAGAGGATGAGTGTCTACTCTTGGCTCTAACACCTAATGGCTGTGGGGCCACAGGCAAAACATTTCAGCTTCACTGAGCCTCAGTGTCTTAGGTGCCAAGTGCAGAGTATAATATCATCTAGCCTTCTTACTTCACAAGGCGATTAAGGACTACAAGGTAAACAGGGCACAGTTTAAAACACTGAAGTGCTACACAAGTAGGAGGTACGATTATTTTATGAAGATATCACTACTGATGAAGGTAAAGGAGGACTGAGCAGAAAATGAGTATTCGTATCCAGCCATCTCGACAGATTCCAACCACCCTCCCTCTACCCCTTCTTTTCTTTTCTCTACGGTATTTATAGAGCATCTCTGCCAGGCATTATGTCACATGCTGGGAATGTAACAATATCAATAGGTTTTGCCTACATTCATAATAGAAGGAAATACCCAATTTAAGTCAGAAGGGAGTAAAAACAAAGATAGAGATGGGGCGCCTGGGTGGCTCAGTCGTTAAGCGTCTGCCTTCGGCTCAGGTCATGATTCCAGGGTCCTGGGATTGAGCCCCGTGTCAGGCTCCCTGCTCGGCGGGAAGCCTGCTTCTCCCTCTCCCGCTCCCCCTGCCTGTGTTCCCTCTCTCGCTGTGTCTCTCTCTGTCAAATAAATAAATAAAATCTTTAAAAAAAAAAAAAAAGGAAATTTTTCTCGGGAAAAAAGAAGAGTGAAAAAAAATCCTTATTTTCTTGCTATAACAACTGACAACACTAATGAGAGGTAAGGTTCGTCTATTTATTATAAAATTAAAATGAAACTATATAATTTCTTTCCTGTTTTGTCCATCCATAATCTAGTATAAGCATTATTAAACAACATTTTCAAATCTTACTTTAAAATTAAAATAAATCCCGGTTAAAACATATAACAAAGTTGATCATCTTAACCATTTTTAACTGTACAGTTCAGTAGTGTTAAGTAAATTCACATTTGGGGGCAACAAATCTCTAGATTCAACAACTTTTCATTTCCCTCCCCCATCGGCCCCTGGCAACCACCATTCTACTTCGTTTCTATGAATTTAACTACTTTAGGTATGTCATACAAGTGGAATCTAAAATGTTAGCTTTTAATGGGCTGTCAAATATGCTATCACATGAATGTACCACACTTTATTTAGCAATTACCTCAGAGGTGGCTGGTTAAATTTGCTGTAATAAATAACGACAATGTGGCAAGCAATTCTTGCACAGAAATCTTTGACCACGTTCTGATCATTTTCTCAGGTCAGATATCTAGAAATCAGATTACCAGAAATAAAGGGCATGGACGTTTCTGTTGAAACGTATTTTTTGTACATTAGGTTTGTAAATATTTAAGGCTCTTGGTACATTTGGAAAACAGCTTTCCAGTCACATTTTAGCAATTTGTGCTCCCACCAGCAGAGGATGAAGGTCACTGGGAGTATCTCCATGCCCTCTTGACAGCTTTGAGTATTGCTACTTAAAAAAAAAACTTTGCCGATATTTTTTGATTAAGGAATAGAATTTTATTTGAATGTCTAGCTCTTTCATTAATAGTAAGATTAGCAGCATGCCACTTGGGATCATGTAACTTTCTTTTTGCCTGTATAAATTAATTTTTCCTTCGTCCTCCCTTCTCTTTCTAAAGCTTCCCCCCCCCCCCATTATAACATCATAAAATGACTTTTAGGAAAGAAAGAAAACTATAAAGGAGAAAATACACCCCATAGTGGAAGACTTCGAATCTGGGTTTAAGGATTTTTTTTTTTTAAAGATTTTATTTATTTATTTGAGAGAGAGAGAATGAGAGACAGAGAGCATGAGAGGGGGAGGGTCAGAGGGAGAAGCAGACTCCCTGCCGAGCAGGGGGAGCCGGATGCGGGACTCGATCCCGGGACTCCAGGATCATGACCTGAGCCGAAGGCAGTCGCTTAACCAGCTGAGCCACCCAGGCGCCCCCAAAGGTTTATTTTTCTACTTTTGAAAAAATACCATACTATGTTTATACTGTAGCTTCAAATTAGATGCTGTTATCTAGTAAAGCAAATCTTTCCTCCCTCCTCTTGTTCTTTAGAAATGTCTGGACTTCTTGGCCCTTGACTCTTCCACATAAATTTTAGAACAAGCAACCAAGTTCCATTAAAATCCTATTGAAATTTTTGTTGGGATTGTAGTAAGCCTATAAACCAATATGAGAATTGAAATATTTACAATCTTAAAGTTTTTTCCATTAACGAAATAAGAAATATCCTAGGATTTCGCTTCATTTATTTAGAACTTCTTTCTTTAGGGAATCTCAATAGTTTTACATTTTCTTCATGGAAGTCCTACACATGTTTTTAAAAACTTTTATCTGAACTTTTTTTTTTTTAAAGATTTTATTTATTTATTTGAGAGAGAGAGACAGAGAGAGAGCACGTGAGAGGGGCGAGGGTTGGGAGGGTCAGAGGGAGAAGCAGACCCCCCGCCGAGCAGGGAGCCCGACGCGGGACTCGATCCCGGGACTCCAGGATCACGACCTGAGCCGAAGGCAGCCGCCCAACCGACTGAGCCACCCAGGCGCCCTAAGGGTTTTTTTTATTCTGGTCCTCAGGGCCATGGAGAGTCTTTCTAAAACTAAACGAAGTTTAGTCGTAGCCTCCCGCGGGCGGCGGAAAAGGCGCTGGGGCCTTCTGATGGTCTCTGTTGGTAAAACTGGGCGCCAGGTGGCTGGACATAAACGAGACCGAGATGAGCAAACCCCGGCTGGCCACAAGTTGAACCTAGCGGGACAAGTCGCAGGAAGGTGCAGGGGCCCGGCGAGCAGGAGAACGTGCGAGGGCGCTGGGACAGAGGGGCTCAAGGACAGGACCCACCGGGGGGGGGGGGGGGGCGCCGAGCGCGGCAGGGCCTCCCTCATTCCCGCAGGCTGCTGCGAGGGCTCAGAGGCCACACGCTCGCACGCCGAAGCGCTCCCTCGGCGGCGGGTCCCGGCGCGCCAGGCCTCCCCCAGCGACGCGGCGCGCCCCCTGGGGCTTGAGGACGCCGCTCGCGGAGGCGCTCCGTGCGCGCCGCCACAGCGCGGGGACACGGTCCCCAGCCCGGGAGTCCCGCGGCCTTCATCAACACCCGCCCGAGCCGCGGGGCGCCCCGCGGAGGGAGGGCGTGCGTGCGTGCGTGCGTGCGTGCGTGCGTCCGTCCGACAGACTTCCGCAGCGACGCCCGCCCCGCCCCACCCCGCCCCGCCCCCGCCGTGTCCGGGCAGGCGGGGCAGGCGAGGCGGCCAGAGCCGGGGCGCGGCGGCACTCGCCCGGGGAGGGAGCCACGCAGGCGGCGGGCGGGCTCCCGAGGGGCGCGCGGGCGGGGGCGCGCAGGCCGGCGGCTCAACGCTACCTGGCGGCGAGCGAGTGAGGTTGTGGCCCTCCGAGCTCACGGCCTGCAGGTAGAAATAGCGGACGGGCAGCACGACGCCCGCCCGCAGCCCGGGCCCCCACACCAGGCTCCGCGGCGCGCTCACCGGCGCCTCGGGGGCCCCGGCGGCCACGAGCAGGGCGAGCCGCAGCGGCAGCAGCGCGGCCCGCGGGAGGCGGCGCATGGTGGCGGCCCGGGGTCCAGCGCGGCGGCGGCGGCGGCGGCGAGGGGCGGGGCCGGGCGGCGGGCGGCGAGGGGCGGGGCCGGGCGGCGAGGGGCGGGGCCGGGCGGCGGGCGGCGAGGGGCGGGGCCGGGCGGCGGGGGCGGGCGGCGGGGGCGGGGAGGGGCGGGGGCGGGCGGCGGGGGCGGGGCCGTGTGCGGCCTCCCGCCGCCCCGCTCTCCGGGTCCGCCTCGCGCCCTGCCGGGGGCGGCGGAGAGCGCGTCCGGCCCGGGGACCCCGCGGAGGGGGTCTCGCCGGCCCCCACCTCCGGCTGCCGGAGCTTGCCAACCGCGTGGAGGACACCGCTTTGAGAGGACGCCAACACGGGGGTGATGGCCGTGGGGCGAGCGAAAGGGCCCCGCAGCGAAGAACGTCCATGTCCTTTAGGGAAACTCCTTTAGCCCAGGAACTTCCCTAGGTTGACAGGGTGCAGGGCAAATGTCACGCCACCTCTGGCGGGTGTGTTCACGCCAGCACCAACCTAATCCTGCGATCCTCCGCTCCGAGATTCCCTCCCTTCTCCCTAATCCCCTTCTTCCCCTACAGTTTGCTTTTCTCAACACGTGTGTTCTGCACATCCACTAGGTTAGGGACAAACCCCAAGGGAGCAGTTAGGGACTGGGCTTTCAGAATTCAGGTTGGACGAAGGACTTGCCTTGAGCCTGGTGGGTGAGCTTCACCTCTGTCAGGTGGCTCCTGTCCTCTGTAGTTAATGAGGTGTGACTGGTCTTGGTCACTCCTCAGAAGCTGGAGGTAGGGTCCAGGAAGAGGCTGGCAGGAGCCCTAAGCACTGGCAGCCACTGTCTGCCTTTTTCCCCCTGACCTCTTGATCCACATTTGTTAAGTAGATTTGCTTCTTTTATTTGCTTATGGTTTGAATCTGTTCAAAGAAAATAAGCATTCTGCTCCGGCTGGGTGAGCCAGGGGGAACCCAAAGTGCAGAATGGACAGAGGGATTCTGCACCCTCTTGACAGAGCTCAATCCAGAAATGCCACAATCAGGCATCCCCTGTTCATCTCCTGCCTTTAATTGGGTTACTCAGCATTCTTGCTATGACCACCTTTTACTAGGGCAAAATCCTTCCCAGTTCTCTTGACCTATTTTAGTAATACTGAGCAGAGGTTGTAGACAGTGTTCTTTGTATTTTGGAAAGATTTTCAGAAACTGGTAGTAAATCACTGGGAAATTGTAGGGCTAAAGTATAGCATTACTTTCATTGATAAGTTTTAATTTGTGGGGTTGTCTGCATGCTTTAAATAGAAAGCATTGCTGTGTTCTAGCTATTGCTTTGAAAAATTGTGTAGAACACATTTTATTCACATTCTTCCAAAATCAAACTTAAAAAATTTCCCAGAGAAATAATCTGAAGGTTAGCTGATACAGGACGATAGTAAAATATGACCTAATATATTACATCATACTTGCAGTAACCCCCAGTATTTTTTGAGAGCATATCAAAGAAGCCATATAATTGAATCTGAACCCTTGTTTAGCAATAGTGAGTCTGTACCAACCTGTTTTCTTTCACATTGCCATCCATATCTTTAAAATCATCTCTCTTCAGATCAACCAATGCCTTGACTAGATTCTTTATAGTAAATCAAATTTCAAATACATATTCAATGCCTACTATGTTTTAGACATTATACTTGGACTTTAAAACTCCTGTGGTTGGGTGGAGAAGAAAGACAGAGGCAGTGTGGTGGGTGCTAAAATATGGGAGTGGAGAACTCTGCAGATCTGGGATTTTAGCCTCTTACAAGCTAACAGGTTAGCCTGTTTTGTGGATGCTGTCGAAAGACACAAGACTCCTGGGTCAGAGACAAAGGACTTTGTTATTCATTGTCAGAGTTTCGTGTTGGTTTGTGTTCGATCCCTGTGTCCCCTGTTATGGGCAGAATTGTGTTTCTTTGTAATTCGTACATTGAAGCACTAAGCTCCATGACCTCAGAATGTGTATTTGGAGATAGGGACTTTAAAAAGATGATTAAGTGAAAGTAGGCTGTTAGGATGAGCCTCGATCCAATCTAACTAGTGTCCCTACGAGAAGAGGAAATTAGTGCACACAGAGAGACACCAGGAATGCTTGGGCACAGAATGAAGACCAATGGAGGGCACAGTGAGAAGGCATTCATCTGCAATCCAAGGGAGAGGCCTCAGGAGAAACCAAACCTGTCGACATCTTGATCTGGGACTTCTAGCTTCCAGAACTGTGAGAGAATAAATTCTGTTGTTTAAGCCCCCCAGTCTGTAGTATTTTGTATTGGCGACCCCAGCGGACATATATAGCCCCCAAGTCTGGTGGGGACGATGCAAAGGACCTTCATGGATGTGTGAAGTGGGTTGCATTATAAGACAAACACACCAAATCCAGGGGATTACTGATTGCACAGCATGGGGAATTAATCCTGCTCTTGGCCAGTGGGGAGATATTATCTCATCCTTCAAGGTTGCTTGCTGTAAATACAGGCCTAAGAAATGTCATGTGTGGGGCCCCTGGCTGGCTCAGTCAGTGGAGCGTGGGACTCTTGATCTCGGGGTTGTAAATTCAAGCCCCATGCTGGGTGTAGAGATGACTTAATAAAATCTTTAATTAAAAAAAGAGAAAGAAGGGCACCTGGGTGGCTCAGTTGGTTAGGCGACTGCCTTCGGCTCAGGTCATGATCCTGGAGTCCTGGGATCGAGTCCTGCATCGCGCTCCCTGCTCAGCGGGGGTCTGCTTCTCCCTCTGACCCTCTTCCCTCTCATGCTCTCTGTCTCTCATTCTCTCTCTCTCTCTCAAATAAATAAAATCTTTAAAAAAAAGAGAGAAAGAAATGGCATGTGTAAAGTGTGGTCAAGGACTTACATTCTTGGCAAGCCCAGCAAAAATGTTCAAGACCCATGGCAGATTGCTTCTCCCACTATAAGTATGCTTCTCTCTCCCTCCCCTGGTGAGCGTACCAGCCGACCCCCACCCGGCCACAAGTAGCAACTGACCTAGTAGCCTTGAATGTATCCCTCTAGATGTACACATGCATATGCAGGGGTTGTTTGTTTGTTTGATTAATGCTTTATAAAAAATGAGATTTTGCTTTCCTCACTCAGTAGTACCTCATGCAAATTCTCCTAAGTCAACTTACATAGTTCTACTTTATTCTTTTTAATGGTTGCATAATATCACGTATGTGGATGTTCCATCATATATCCAGTCCTTTCTAATCAAGTGCTCACTTTGTTTTCAGTTTTTGCCACAACAAACATTGTAGCAATAAAAGTTCTTACCTCTAAGTCTATATATACTAGTGCTCTTATTTCCACTGCAGTGATTTCTGGGGCAAATGAAGACGGTGATTGGGCGTATTGGTTCTGAATCCCTACTTTCCTGGTCGTGACAGAGACAACGGCTCCCATGATAAGTCCAATTTTCTGGCATCGTTTGAAAAATTGCCGCTGGAATTTCAACTTATTATCTATTTTGTCAGCCCTATCAATGCATTTGTGAGCAAACTGTACATGCTTTAATAAGTCCTTTTTTTACCTGAGCCACCTAAAGAGGATTATATTTAGTCTACAACTAAAAACCCTGGCTGATCCAATGTATTTTAAATTTTGATAAAATACTGCACATATTCAATATAACAACACTCTCCTGTCCTCGGTAGAGACACAGGCTTTGGGTTGCTTTCCTAGAAAAGATGTAAGATTGGTATGAATCAATTAATTAATATTGCATGTCTTATATTTCAACTGGAAAGAATGGTTTATCTTTCATCAGTGTTACTGGGCAATGACTAACCCAACTCCGTGTAGCTCCTTCTTCCTCTACACAGAGAAATGCCAGACCTTCATTCCTCCTCTGTGTTGCAACCAGATAGACTGATCTTCATGTATCAGTTGATTGCTTTGGGGTACAAATGAAAGAAGAGAGAAGCAAGTCACTTTGTTTTTTTGAAACTACATATGGCTGATCTCATTCAATAACCACCAGAGAGATTTGTAGGAAGGCTTTTGGCCCCCCCTTACCCCCACCACCTTTTTAGAATTTTTCCTGAAACTTTTCCCCTTAAAAAGAATCATTTGAGGATGGGAATAAAAACCAGGTCAAACGGTGCATCTATTTAAATCATTTATTTCAACACAGGCACTGTTTTAAATTTGCACCTTGTCTTGTAACACTTTTCATATCTAGAGAACAGGATTGAGAACAAGTACATAAAAGGATTATTTGACAACATTTTAACAAAAGTGCTTAAGGCTTACTTGTTTCAGAACACAGGTGTGCCAGTCACAAGAGCCCCTAAGTGGTAATACATTCACAAACTTGCTGGGAACGTAAGATATTTACATATTTATGCTGTACATTTAAATAGGATATTCTAAAGTGTTATCACCACTGTTAACAATAAACTCTTACCAATAAGGCCTCTTTAACCTTCTGGCATTCCACAGAGTATAGTGCTTTTATGGAGGTGGGAGTTTTTCAATTTTATTCCCGTCTTCACCATAACCTAAGTGGACTTTCTTTCATTATTTCTAGTACAGACATACATTTACCTTCTACACAAAATTATTTTTATTCACTTTTCACCAGTCAAAACCTTGTTAGTAGCAGTTGGAAGTTTTATTAACATCCATATATTTACAAATGTAAGGGGGTGAATTATTTAGAAAGAGGTCTCTAAAAATGAAAATAATCTCATTAAGCCCCCTTCCTTTTTAAAGTAGACTCCACTTTAAAAAAGTGTGGAGCCCAATGTGGGGCTTAGGACTCTCTACCCTGTGATCATGACCTGAGCTGAGATCAAAAGTCGGTCACCTAACCGATTGAGCCACCAAGGCGCCCAAGCTCTATTTGAAATAAATTGTACAGTGTGAAATTGAAGTCTATTATCTAAACAAGTTAATAATTTAAAGGTACTTATTAGAATGGATTCCCTCATGATTTACTCCATTTATGTGAATATTTATTTTAATAATGATTATATCCTTTAGAACACAAGTGAGGGGTATAAAAATGACTATTATAAATTAGTATAGCTATACCAAAAATGAGTCTTAAAAAGCAGCAGTTTATATGTTAAAATACATAGAAATTTGCTGTACTTCTTTAACGAAGTATTTTATAAAAGTATAAAACTATAGAAGGTGCTGGTTGTTTTTTTTTTTTTTAAGATTTACTTATTCATTTGAGAGAGAGAGAGCAAGGAGAGGGGCTGAGGGAGAGAGAGAATCCTCAAGCAGACCCCCCACTAAGTGCAGAGCCTGACTCGGGGCTCGATCCCATGACCCTGAAATCATGACCTGAGTTGAAATTGAGAGTCAGACGCTCAACCGACTGAGCCACCCGGGTACCCCTAGAAGTACTATTTTTATGAATTTTCTGTTTCTTTGATTCTTGAGCCAGACCAACAAGCAAATATTACAAACAGTGCAGGTGAGAATCAGCCATCAATTACCTCTGAATTCAAATAGGAGATTCCAGTGCAGAGAAGGAGGGCCTCAGAGTAATTGTTTATCCTCACCTTAATTTAACTGTTGATATAGCCTAAACTCAGTGAAAAATAAGCTAACTTCATTTCGCCTTTTGTAACATACATGTAAACTCAGAGTATTTACTGAAATAGAACTTGCAAGTTGATCATTTTTCAAAAATCGAGAAGCTTAACATTAAAATATGAACTCTGAATATCTTAAAATTAGATGGAAAACATAAGTCATGGTTTATGAAACTTGTTCTTAAATAATCAGATAAATAGAAGGGGAAGGGGAAAGGTAGAATTTACAAACATAAATAAAAAATGAATAAAATGTTATTTATTCTTTACCATTTAAATGGAAATATCCAGTACAGTTGATTTAAAATTCTATTATCAGTCTCTTTGAGCTTGATATTGGTCAGAGCCTGGACTTTAAAACAATTTACAGATTTAAGGAATAACTTCCATGTTAGTTACCACATGTTTATTAGTTTTGAGTTTCATGGGAATGATGTGAAGTCGCCCTGGTATTTTGCTTCCAGGCAAAGCAATGGTTAGGAGGATAATAATAATATAGTTCTTTCTTGCATTTCTATCAGTTCTAGATCTCTGTATGCTTCACCAACACTATCATTATCCTTAATTTATATGGATGAAACAGACTAGGTGAGAAAAATGGAAAAGAGAATTGGGTCAGGAAGCAAATGGGAAGCAATCGGAATGAAATCCACTCATGTGGACCCTCACAGCACTAAGGTCCTAGATGGCAGGCTTTCTGTAGTTCTAGTGAATGATCTTTACCGCCATCTATTGGTGTTTATCCTATTAGGAGGGAAAGTTCCAGAAGGTTGGCTTGGCAACCAAAGAGTTAGAAAACCAAGTTGTGGATATGAAGAGTATTTAGTCTAGATACATTATTGAAGAAATCATAGTGACAAGCCCTTAGAAGCTCTGCCTTATAATTTCCCGTGGGTTTGGTAAATGATCCTGCAAAGAAGCCAGTGAAACCCAGTGTGTCTGATCTCACTCAGTGGCATTTTAGGGGCGTCGCCAAGGTTATCGCTTGATATTCGTGACTAAAACGTGCACATGAAATAAAGCGTTCTATCCTGTAAATAAAGAAACTCCAGAAATGGGTAGTCCTGCAGAAATGGGGAAAACCAGTTGGGGAGAGAGCTGCAGTGAGGATGTCCATCCCACGAAGGATGTCCACTTACCTGCATCCCCAGTCATGCTTCCTTCCTAAGCAGGAATTCTGTGGCCAAGCCACCTTCTGTACCATCATGCTACCCGGCCTGAGTCCTTGACTTGATTAAACCTCAGCCCTTAACAAGTCAGCCAGTCCCTACGAATGTCTTCAAATGTAGTCCTAGAAGTACTAATATTTTGGGCTTAATAGGGATTCAGCTCATCTCTAACCTCAGTAAATACATCAAACATCTGCTTCCATCTAATAGGATGCCTTTATGAAAATTCCCTTATCTTTGTTTGAAAGGGAAAAAAACAAAAACAAAAAACAACCCTAAACCTCCTAAATGCTAGGTCAAACAGGATGGTAACATTTACTCCACTGTCATTATCCCTACACTTTATTTAATGTCATGAATATAGGGTGTGGATTGGAAGGGGCAGTACAGAATTTTCTAACTTACTGAAGTTATTACTTCTGTATGTGCCGGGGGTATTAGGGTTGTGAATCACAATGAAAGGTGTAAAAAAAGCTAAGGAGAAAGTAAAGTAGAGCAGAAAGCCAAAGTTGGACAGTGAGGGGACAGGAGGGAAGTAAGGCCAAGAGAGAGAAAACAGCAGAGAATCCCCCAAAATAAAAAATAATTTGCTCTAGAATTTAGGAAATATATATATATGTTGTAGGGAAGGGAGGGAAGAGAATTTGGGTTGTTTCAGAGTAGGTGCTGCTCAGACCAGATCTTTTTTATACTGTCCTTCTCAAGGGCATACACATTTACACTTCATTTCCAGTACAAGCTTTTGGTGGAAAGGTTATGCATTTTATTGAGGAAGGCTCACAGTTCTGACTCTTTGTCATTTTCATCTAGATAGTATTCATCATCCGTGGTTGTGTCTGTGTCACAGTCTGAGTCCACTGGATTCTCTTCATAGATATTAAGTGGTGCGCTTGGAGATAAGGCATCTTCTGGCATCTGGCTGAGAGGAGAATTTGAGCTGGATAGCTCTGTTGGATTAGGAGCATTAATTACATCATCTTTTAGGAAGCCAGGGTTCTTGAGAAAACTTGGCTTCCATAATCTTCCTTGCGTGAGTGACCTCTTTACACTCTCCAAGAAAGCCAACTGTTGTTCTTTCCCAAAAATTCCATAGTCAATGGGTCTGGATATAGATGTTGCCGACCTGGGGCCCATTTTTGTCCTGCCACTACACAAAGCCCGATTTTCATTTGCATTACAGGAGGAAAGCTCAGAAAAGGATCTGAATCTTCGACTGTACCTGCTGTCACTGGAGAATTCATTCCCTAGGGTCAGTTGACTCAGGGCATTGACAATAGACGTGTTCTCAGAAAAATGGCGCTCCCTGACTTTTGGAGGATGACTTTTGCGTACCAGATCACGGTGCACACTGATGCTTTTTAAACTGTTTGAACGATAGGGATGTGGTTCAGGTTCCCATTCCAGAGATGAAGCACTTTGTTGCTGCCGGTAAGTGGGCAACGGGATGCTTCCTCTGGATTTCTCTGCGGGCTCCAGTGGAAAAGGAGGGTTCAGTCTTCTCTGATGGTCAGAGAAGTCTGCTTCCCCGCGGCTGGGGAATGTGGGTTGGGCCAAGTCTCCTGACTCTCTTTCCAAGGTCTGAGCTGCTGCTACATCTTTAGACTTCTCATACTTTGGTGATGATGCTGAGATATTTTTAGACTCACTCTGACGTAGTTGTGAAATGCCGTTAGACTTCTGATTGCTTAACTGTGTAGAAGCTTCTCTGTTGGATATTACAGGAACCTGGAGAGAGTTCTCGGATTTCTCCGCCTCCATGACATCGCTACTCAACCTGCGTTCATTTCTGGATTCTCCGGACTTTGGAGTTGGCTCAGGGGACAGAGGGTCGCGCTCTGGTGTGCCAAGAGATAGGCTGCCAAAGTCACAGTTGTTCCCACTTTGGGGGAAGATAGTAGCTACATGTCTTCTGGGGCTTAAATCTTTAGCTGAGAATTTTCTGCTGGCTTTGGACATGGCTGCCAATCTGTGTTTAACTAAAGATCTGTTTTTTCCTTTTTCTGGGTCATCCACGCTGGTTTTATTTTTATTGCTTCCTTCAGGAAGTGAAGGTTGATCCCATGCCAACTTTTGCATTTCGTCTTCAGCTTTACTGTTCTCTGTCATACTTACCTCCTGACTCCTTTGCGGTAGTTCCCTGGGTTCAGACTGCAAACTGTCTAAATCTGGCTCTCCTGAACAAGTCCCTTTGTCAAGCTGTAGATTGTGCAAAGCTGGAGGAAGAGCAAAGACCTGCCTTTCCGAGTCATAAAGTGCTTTAATACTCTCTTTTTGGAAATCTGTTCCAATTTCCCCTCTGACCTGCCTCGGCTGCAATCCACTGGAGCTACCAACCACAGCTTCGCCTGTGATATCTTTCTGAAGGCATTCTGCAGTTCCAGGAGCTGTAATGACCACAGCATTACCTGCACACTCCTCAGGACTTCTTACGGTTTGGGAATTCCCAACATTCTCTTCTGAATGGGCCGGAAGATTAGAAGGACCCCCGTTACCCAACTTAACGGGCTGCTGACAGTTTTCCGATTTCTCTTCTGTAACTTTTTTTCCCTGAAGCATTGATAAAACATGCAGGGTTTCACTCTGCTGTTTTTTCCCTCTCTCCTTTCTGCTCTGTGCATCGCCTAGAGGGGTTTTAGCGAAGTTATCTGGGGAAATCGCTCCAGTTCTTGATTCTCCTTTATGAAGAGAAACATCTGCCGCAGTAGAAGCCATTTCCTGTAATATGGGCTCTGAGGGCCTCGGGTCTGGTGAAGCAGTCGTATCTTCAGTGGTGTGAGAAACACAATGGCTCTTCTCCTGAGCAGAGCTGACCAGCATCTTCTGACCTTCAGAGGAAGGTGTTCCTGACTGCTCTTGTATAGAACAATTTAGTTTGTCCTTTTCAAAAGCATTAGGAAATGCTTTGGTCTCCGCTTTAGTCGATTCTGTAAGTGAATCGATTTGCTGTGTATACTTTTCGAGAATGTTACAGAATTTTTTGCTGTATTTCCTTGGCAGAGTGTAATATATTGAAACCAGCTCAAGACACTTCACGTTATCTTCATCACCAGAAACCGAAAACATACTAGTAGTCTTAAATTTATGTAATGTTTTCCCACTTTCTTTCCTTGACATATCTGAGGAAAAAGGTAAAGGGTCCTCATTTGAGAACAGACCCGTCCTGGAGGCGGCAACTTTACGATCCTTTTCAGCGTGTTCTCGAAAGTTTTCCTCTTGGGGGTGCCCTTTGGGTAAAGAACAATCGCTAACGGGTGAGTTATTTTCCGGAGGGCTAATGATTGTCTCCCAAGGTCTTAGTGTTAGAGCAGAAGCATCTGTGATTGAGACCAAGCATTTTTCTCTTTCATCTCTCCCATTTGAGGCATCTGGTGCCCCTGAAGGACATGACACAGCCCTCCTGGTGAGGAACGGAAGTGGTCCTTTTCTAACAGAAGCAGATCCAAGGTTTTTCGTATTTGTCATCCTCTTTGTGGCTTCAGGTGCTACTGAGACGGAGTCTGAAACTGCTTTGGAATATCTGCTTTCTGACTCCAAAGAACTGGAACTGAATTTGTTTGACGCGTCCTTCCCTCTTGGGTCTTCCACCTTATTTTTGATTTGGAATGGAAGTGGTTCATTCCTAAATGAAGAAGGCATTATCTTACTTTCTGACTTCCTGTTATTGATGAGAAAACTGGCTGATTTTCTTGGCGAGATACAATAAGTAGTGTGAACCTCAGGACACTTGGAATGGCTTCCATTCATCTCCCTGAGGTTACTGTTATCACTTGTAGGTGCTGATCTGCTTTCCGTTTTGCTTAACTTTTCAAAACAGGAAATGCATCGTCTTATTTTTCCTTTTGCTTTTCCGTCCTTGAAAGGAGGGAGGGAATGGCATTTGACAGCATCAACCACCTCATTATGTACAAGCACACAATTATCACGACTCTTTTGGTTTTCTGAGGAGCTTGGGGCAAACTGATCATGTTGGTGTTTACTATCATTGTCTTTTTGTTCCCCTTCTCCCAAAGATGGATCTTTGCCTGAAGGACTTTTCCTGGAGAACGCTGTTGTAGAAGGAATCGCCAGAGCCTCAAGGGAAGAATTATTCGACGGTGAGTTATCAGGTGGTATACCTGATGACAGGTCTAAAGAATCCCCCGGGATCTCGTGACCAGCAGCTGATCTGCTACAGTTCATAGAACGAGTTGTGCTATGTTGTTCTTCCTCGGCATCTAAAAGAGCAGGCTTTTCTGGAGACTGTGCATTTTGATTATCAGGTGCAGAGCTCCAGTGGTGATTTCTAGTAATGCCTGAACTATCTTCACGGCTTACTCTTACTTCCTGGTGACCACCTGGATTTGGGCTGGGAATAGATGTTGTTCTGCTTTCCTGAATAAAAGGAAGGGCAGTTGCTGAGCCAACTTTTCTACTCCCAGTAAAATTCCTATCTTTTTTTAGTTCATTGGATTTATCTCCGTGTGATGGATGAATTTTGGATATATCTTTCCTGGCAATAACTCCAGGTGACATTTTTGAACTTACTGTGGTAGATGCATTCAAAGCAAATCCTTTGCTCTTAGCTGAGTCCTGGGACAGGGGATTTCGAAAATCGGGGGAAGGGTTAGAGATTACAGTTTGTGAATCAGGTTGGGGTACTTCACTTGTCATGTTTGTCTGGTCCATCTTGTTTAGTTGTTTATCTTCTTCCAAAACAGATTCATTCAAGTCTTTCTCATGACTCACATCTGTGGCTGAGATACTGGGTGGGCTTTCAGTAAGAGGTGGAGAATCAACTGAATTCCTCTTGGTCACAGTGACTTGTGTATAGGTTTTTACTGGAAGAGAGGCAGGCTTAATTTTCTGCACAGTGACTGTGGGATTCTGAAAGATGGGACTCTGAGGATTCCCTCTGTCATCAGGAATCTGGGGGAAGGAAGTTTTAAATGAGGATGCTAGAGTCTGAGCAATTCCAAATGAGTAAGGTTCTTTGTTGATATGGACTTCTGTAGGAGGACTGCCCTCTTGACATACTGACCTACCAGATGTGATGTGATAGCTTGGACCAGTCATAGGGCAAACATTGGGCATGTTGAAATGAGTCCACTGGCTCTCATTACCTTGTGACACCTCCATGCTCTCCAGCATGGGTGTCTGAGAATCAAACTGCCAGGGATGTGGCTCTTCTTGATCTCTGAACATATTTGTTCTGTAACTAGAAGAAGATGATCCCCAGTGTTGAGAAAGAACACTATGGCCATGAGCAGCTAAGGCACTATTTGCTTCTGTGGAAATCATTTCAGAGTCTCTCTCAAAAGAAGGGAATGGATGCTGGCTTTGATGGAAGTCAGACCAGGAAGAATGTTCTTCCTGTTGGTCCCAAAAAGGACTTTGCCTAAATCTCTGTTCCCTGTTTCGTCCAAAGGTGTTGCTAGAGAAAGATCTAGCAAATGGGTTTTTTTGAGGGTAGAATGGCATATTCTCTGAGTTCTCAAACGGGTCAGGACTCATTGCATTATCCATGGGGGCATTAAAATGAACACCTTGGTAAACACTCTGTGAACGGTAAAATCCATATCTCCTGTTCTCCTGAAAACACCTGGGATACGTATACTGGTCGGCAGTATCAATCTCCATGGGTGACGGGGCCCTCAGGAACTCTTCTTGGCTCTGCCTATCTCCAGAAGAATCTGATCTATTCCATATGATGGATGATAAAGGAGTTCTCTTTGGGCTCTGCTGGTGTCTTGGTGGTATAAACCCACTCTTGTTCTGAGTGGTGGTTGGAAAATGTAAGCTTCTTGCTGTGAAATATCTTGTAGCTGGTGAAGCCGATTGTTGCCTGCTGTCGGAACACAGAGAAGTACTACCAAAAGTATTCTTTTGCACATAATCTTCTTTTAAGAGTCTGGGCTCCCTTGTCCTGTACATATCATAAATTGTTTTTGTTCTAGGAGAAAAGATTTTAAAACCTTCCCTAGGGGCTCCTGGTCTTAGGATGTCATAGATAGACATATTAGAAGTTTCATTATAGTGGTTTTTGTGCCGTCCTGTGATATTACCATGTGTGTTTCCCCTAGAGTAGAAATGACTGAACTGTGTTCTCGATCCATAGTTGAGAGGTGTTGTGGTATTCACTGAGCTTGGACACTGTTCCTGAGCCAGTTTGTTATCCAAATCATCTAAAACTGAAAGGAGAATATGAGTCAGCTTTTTTGTATAACATTTTATAATCTAATAATAATTTGAGTTGTTGGGCGCCTGGATGGCTCAGTTGGTTAAGCGACTGCCTTCGGCTCAGGTCATGATCCTGGAGTCCTGGGATCGAGTCCCACATCAGGCTCCCTGCTCAGCAGGGGGTCTGCTTCTCCCTCTGACCCTCTTCCCTCTCGTGCTCTCTGTCTCTCATTCTCTCTCTCAAATAAATAAATAAAATCTTTAAAAAAAATAATAACTTAAGTTGTTGAAGTCCCTCTTAAAGAAATAAAATCGTTTAAAATTTTATTTTTATTTATTTATTTATTTTTTAAGTAGACTTCATGCCCAGTGTGGAGCCCAATTTGGGGCTTGAACCCACGACCCTGAGATCAATACCTGAGCCAAAATCAAGAGTTGGATGCCTAACCAACTGAGCCACCCAGGTGCCCCTATAGTTTTATTTTTATATAAATGTGATGACATTAATTTTGATTATGTTTTTAAGATATTCTGAATTTGGTCTGCCTTTGGCTCAGGTCATGATCCCAGGGTCCTGGGATCAAGTCCCACATCGGGCTCCCTGCTCCGTGGGAAGCCTGCTTCTCCCTCTCCCACTGCCCCTGCTTGTGTTCCTGCCCTCGCTCTCTCTCTCTCTCTCTCTCTGTGTTAAATAAGATCTTTAAAAAAAAAAAAAAGATATTCTGAATTTTACAAGGTTGTGGGGGAAGTTTCTTTTTCATGCTTTTTCAAAATTAACCTTCGATAATACCTTAAGGACCTAAAGCTACATTTTTTTTTTTTCTAACAACAAAATTTTAATTGTGTGTTTGGCTTTTTTTTAGTTTATCTTTTGTGTCATCAGGTAGCTAAAATATTTCCCACCATGTTTACTTCGGAGGATTGCAATAAAAATGAGAGTCTGTAAATAACATGTGATTTCTCAGGTGTACTGTTAAAAATACAGCATTACCGGGCGCCTGGGTGGCTCAGTTGGTTAAGCGACTGCCTTCGGCTCAGGTCATGATCCTGGAGTCCCTGGATCGAGTCCCGCATCGGGCTCCCTGCTCGGCGGGGAGCCTGCTTCTCCCTCTGACCCTCCCCCCTCTCATGTGCTCTCTGTCTCTCTCATTCTCTCTGTCTCAAATAAATAATAAAATCTTTAAAAAAAAAAAAAAAAAAAAAGCATTACCACCAAAAGCGTAAGCATGTAATTTATAAACATACTTATTTGGATGGATTTGAGCAATACAGAAACTTTAAAGTTCTATACAATACTGTTAAATGATATGCTAATGCTAGATTGTTTTTCCTGGAAAAATGAAGACCCATTACCACCCCTATAATATCGCACTTTCTATGTGTCAGGCCCGGTTCTAAAGACTTAATTTATTAACTCATTAAATCCTCACAGAACTTTGTAAAACTGGTACTATTACTGTTCTTGTTTTATAAATGAGGAAACTAGGCATGAACAGATTAGGTTGTCAAGGTGACAGCCGTCTGTCTCCTGAGTCCACATAATGCAATGGCATGTGGTATAAAAGCTCACTTTTCAGGGCGCCTGGGTGGCTCAGTCGTTAAGCGTCTGCCTTCGGCTCAGGTCATGATCCCAGGGTCCTGGGATCGAGCCCCGCATCGGGCTCCCTGCTCCGTGGGAGGCCTGCTTCTTCCCTCTCCCACTCCCCCTGCTTGTGTTCCTGCTCTCTCTGTCTCTCTCTCTTCAAATAAATAAATAAAATCTTTAAAAAAAAAAAAAAAGCTCACTTTTCATTCTCTCTTTTCATGAACTCTAAAGATGATTTCACTGTAAGCTCATGAAGTTCCAAGGATTTGGACTTGCTGTTGTTAAGCAACGTTCACTTTTCTCTCAGTGGCCAGGTCGGAGGGTGGTGTCCACGTCAGAGCTCAGTGACCTCCTTATAATACAGAGGACCTGGGTCAGCCCCAAAACCCAGAGATCAAGCTTCCTAGGACCCCAGCCTCTGCGACCTCAGACAAGTTACAGGATATTTTCAGTTGGTTGGTATTTCTTGGAATCGTGTTTCCTTACTCCTATTTGACCCCTTTTCCTCAAGAAAAACCTATCAGAATTTAAACAGAACCATAATCTTTTAAGGTTTCAAGATTCCCAAAGGCCCACCCTGTCGTGGATATATTTTACCATATTCATGTTACAATAAATAGAAACAAGTAGATTATATATTTATTGAAGAAATGCAATGTTTGTTCATAACAATCAAATCTGGTATGAGAAATAAGTTATGGGATTATTTAAATTGCTGAGTTACACCTCTCCTTCTGAGTTACATAAAATGGTGCACTCCCTCCTTGCTTCTTTAAAAATTATTTGTCATTAAAATATTTGATCTTAACACTTCAATGACAGGGAAAGGGAGGCATATCAGTATTTGTGAATGTGGGTGGGATGTATTTGTGGATACGTCAACTATGTTGGGGCAGGTGCTGAAGAGATTTCTGATGTCTGTTCTGGATTTTCCCAACACTATTGTATTTGTAAGCTGGTGCTGTTTAAGTTTGCACAGCCACCAGAAGAAGGAATCTTGAGCATTAAAAGTCTATAACTAAGGAATTCTTTAGGGATTCATCCTGAAGTGTTACAATTATTTATCTCCCATCTCTGAAATAATTCCATATATCCACACACACACAAATCAAACAATGCCAAACTGTAAGGCGAGGTAAAAAGAAAATAAAATTATGTCAAAATTATGTAATGAGTAAAAAATCTGTCTTTAAAACAAATTATAATAAAACCTCTTTGATTCCTGTTCTTCCTTTCAAGCTAGTTGTAGGTTTTTTTTTTTTTCCCCTTAAATAAAGTCTTTTGCTGCCTATGAAAGCAACATACGGTTATAAGGGAAAATACAGGAAAGCATAACAAAAAGGTAAAATCACCTGGATTCCTCCCCAAATGTAACCACTCTTAACATCCCCATAGGAAGGTTTTAAATTATTCAAAAATGCTGTTTTATTTTTACTCTTGAGGTAAAAAAAAAAAAATCTGTTCTGCGTTTCCTCTTTATTTTCAGAAAAGCCAAATTATTTTTTTTCGTGTCATAAACAGTAGCTCTCCTGGATTAGCAAAACCTTTGTTTTGTAACAGAGATGTTCCTCTGGGCTACTTTTCTCTGAAGCAAATTCTCTGCCAGGAACCACGTAACTGAAAGGTTGACCCCTGCACCCCCCCAGGTGGACCTCTCTCACTGACCACCCCACCTCTCCCAACACAGCGCCCAGGGCAGGTCATTGCCTTTGCAAATGGAACTTAGTTCCTCAGGGTGAAGCTGGTGAATGACTTCAGAGTTCACTGTTTCAATGGCCAGGTTTATTTTGATACAGAATAACCTAAGTAAAGGTGAGCTATGCTATAATAATAATAAGATCCATGTGCATGCGGTTACTTTTGGAATGTTTCTGTTTTTATTGTTGTCTGTTGTACAAGGTTAATTGTTTAACAACAACTAGGTTTCATCACAGTGCAGTTAGGTACTGACTGGGAACAATAAAAGTCTATTAAAAATAGTAAACTTTATAGAAATATTTCTTAGAAATGCATTTCCTTTAACCTGAGGTTAAATATTAAACATTATAATCGTTCCACAGATTTATCAGCCTTGGTCTGAGCATATTTGCTTAGATTATATTTAAATATAAGATGATTGAGTATTTTTGTGTTAATAGCATGCAACAGCCTCCTCTTCAGATAAGGGAAACAAAAGGATTTCAAAAATAAACTACAGGTTTGCTATGTTTTGAGCATTTTAATACACACTGTAATCATTATTTGCTTTAGTGCAGGGAGTCCCAAAGGCAGTTTTATGCATAGACTTACCTTGGAAAAACTCATTTTCCAGCAGTGAGGCATCCCACGGGGGCATGCCACTTCCCTCCCTCATGCCTGTTGGCCGGGGGACAAATGCACTCTCAACTTGTGGATTTTCCAGAGGTGAGCTGTGTATTTTTGCCTGCTAATTTTGAAACAGAAAATGCAGTATTATTTCTGGACCTTCTCTAGCCAGAATACTCACATGTCCCCACAAAAATGTCCCAACCTAAAATTCTTAGTCTAAGGACCACAAATCAATTTTTCTAACACTTACCTCTCAACTTACAATGTTTCGTTATTTCTGTCATTTGCAAGTGATCACAAACTACTCTATACCTACACTAATTGCTTTTAGTATGAGTCTTCAAGCAATATATCGAGTTTCTTTGTACCAATACTCCTACAAACTTACACAGCACTACACAAGTCTTAGGGAGTTTCCTGGAATACAGGAAAGAAATTGACCTCTCTTGAATTAGGAGAGTTGTCTCCATGGCCCCAATGGCTGGAATTTTAGATTTCTTAAACAGTGTCCCTGCTCTATCAAGAGCTGGCTAGCTGAAGATTGTAGTGGACCTTAAGATTTGTGAACTTGGTGTATTTAGAGGAAAACAAAAAATATTTCTTGCCATAGAGTTCATGCAGAATGGTAGAACCTCCTAGACAGACATAAGCAGCTGATACAGTTCTGAATCAAAGGTGCTAAGAAGTATGACTTTATAAATGTTTGTTGTTGTTGTTGCTGTTTTGAAATACCATTGCTAGTTTTACAGGGTTTAGGAGAATGAGATAGAGCTAATGTTGTTTTCCTGTCTGTACAGCAACTGTTTATCTTGATTTCTCCAAATCCATCACTGCCCTACTTTCAAGCTTTAATTTGTCTCCATGACCTTGGGGGATTATCTACTCCCACACCTTCACTTTCTTTTGCCGAAACTCCATTTGCATTTCCTCTGTCACACCGGCTCTGTCGCTTGTGATCCGCTCTAACTCGCTCTGCACCTGTTCACGAAAAATGCTAGCAGTCACTTCCCATTAGGTCTCTGCCGTCAGCTCACTCTGCTACCCAGTGCTTGCCGCTTGGATCCCACGTCCCCTCCAAGTTTTCTCTTTCCCTTTGATGTTTGCCGTTACATTTCACCTCCTCTTGAACGCCTAAGACCAAATCTCTAATGTTTCCAAAGCTCCAACGTTTTTTACTTCTCCATCCCAGGTCTGTCCAATTCCAAACCCCAGGTTCTCCTGATTTCTATATTCTTCTCAATCTAGGATTTTCACTCCTGCCTGTTTTCATTCTCAAGATCTAGGTCACTTATTTCTTGTAGGAGTCCTGCCCACATTTCACTGACTTATGGTTTCCAGTTCTATGGGCAAGGAATGGAATGGAAGACACGCAGAGATTTATGAATAAGAGAGAAACAATCCTGTGATAACTTTTGTAGGTCATTGGATATAATTAAACACACTAATATAAGACTCAGAAGTAAACAAATATAGAGGCAAAACATAACTACAGTGAGATACCAAATGGATAAAACCAATTGTAATAAAACTGGAAACTAATCATTCGTGTACACTAGATGCATCTGATTAAGAGAATAGCATTGTCTCTCAACCATTTTAACACCCAAACGAACTTCAGCTCTCCTCTATATAGACCAGAGCACATCCCTTTTGGCCTCCTGGATCATATGCTTTTATAATGGGAATTTATACTTAAACAAAAAATACTTGGACTGAGGGCTCAGGTGAAGAGATGAACCTCTCGGAGCTGGGAAGGATTATTACTCCCTAGAGACCCTGAATACTACCCTCTTTGGTTATATGTCTGCCTGGAGCTTCTGCTCCAAGACCAATGCTGCTTGTCCAACATATTAAGGATGCTTCTCATACACACAGGTACAAATTATATGACGAAGAGAAAATACGGAGAGTTTATTTACACTCAACTTTAACTCTGCAAGGATATTTTGTTCAGTGATGAAATGGTTAAAGAAGTAACTGCTGGTAGGTACCAGGCATACAATCACTGCTCTATAGATCCCTTTTATTTGAGCTATATGTGAGTAGTTACTATTATTATTAATTATTCTTCTTAGCGGTAACGGTACATTGAATATTCTAGGCAACGTCTTAGGGTTTTATACAGGTTACCTTATTTCATTATTTTAACCACGCTATGAGGTTGGTACTATGATTATTCCCACTTTGAGAAAAACCTCACTTGGGAAAAAAATGAAGTTTCAAGATGTCAGTGTGCTTTAGGTCACACTGGTGGAGGGAAGGATTCCTTCCCAATCTCTGAGATTCCAGAGCCCAGGGGAATCACCTCTCTTCACTGTTTTATTAGTTTATTAGTACACTATGTCCTAGCTGGAAGCATCTTTTGAGGCCAAACGCAGGTCTGAGAGCTGCTGGGAGGAAGTTTCCTGGTACCTAGAACGGAGGTAAATCCCTCCAGGGCCCAGAGCGCACACCGATCCTCAGTCGGGGCTCTGTCTTGGACTCAGAATCCTCCTCAAAACAGTGTTCCACGCCATAAAGTTGCCATAAAAGATGAAGCCTAGTTCCCATTCCTGGCCTCGAGGATGAGGTTCAAACACCCCCATGCAGCAAACTCATGTTGAAATGCTCTTCCAACCTTTAATTTCAGCCATTCCTCCCCAACTCTTCCAGGGCCCTATGCTCCAAGCTCACCACACTCAGTTCTCTAGAATGCCGTGCCCTTCTTCTAGACCTCCACACCTCTGCTCCTGATCTTTGCTCTTTCTTCTTGCCCTGGAAAATAGCAACGCATCCCTCAGAGTCCAGCTCATGGACCACCGTCACTGTGAGCCCTTCTCCCTGGAGAGAATTGGTTTCCATAGTGTTTTCATACCTGTTATGGTGCCTATTATTATACCTGTGATGTCCTGTCGAAGTTGTTGACATTCTTTCCACTTTCACTTTACCACTAGACCTCTCCCCTTCCTGCCTACCACACATTCCAGTCCCCACCCCGATCTAGGAAACCAGGGATCTGAAGACAAATGGATCAGGACCCTGGAAGCAGACCCACTTCTAAAATAACTAAGAAAGCCTAGTCTTCACCTCTGTCTCCTGAGCACCCAGCATGGCATCAGCAGGTAAGAGACGCACTAAGATTTACTCAGCTGAATTCCAACGCCATCTTGCCACCATCCCTTTGTCCACCGCTGCACCTCTCCACTACACTTTTGTCCAGTCCCTTGACACCAACCAGCTTATCTTTGAACAAAATCACTCATGTATTCCATTTTCGATATACTTTCAAAATATCCTCTCTCACTGGATCATTAAAACAAGTTTGCAAATTACTCATATCATAGGGGTCATATGAGCTGACCCCTAACCCTGTTCTTTCCATTATGTTGCTTTTTACTGGTATTCTACTCATGGACATGATTTTCAATTAGATGGCAAACTCTGTGGACAAAAACCTTGCTTTAAACATTCCAGGCCTTCCACGCCACGCAGCTATTGACTGACTGATGCTATATACCAAGGTAGAAAATTACATATATGAGATTTCTAGTAAAGATCCTTCCAAAAATTGAGACACACAAGTATTTACAGTATTAGGACTCGGAAAAGCATGTCTGAGGCAAGAATGCATAATGGTCAAACACACGAGTTCTACACCGATCCAAATCCTAGTTCTGCCCCTTACTAGTGGTGTAACTTTGGACAAAGCAACCTTTCTGTACCTTTGTTTCTTTCTTGGTAAAATGAAGACGTAATGGTAATGAAGAGAGCAGCAACAACCCCTCCCCTGGCCCCACAGGGTCGCTGTGAGGATTAAATGAATTAATTGCTGTGAAACACTTTCGCATGGTGTCTAGCACTTAGTGAGTCCACTTGTTAGCCATTCCTATTCTTCCATGGTCACAGAGGATTTCCTGGAGGACTCATCCTGAGGCTTACCATTGAATGAACTGGAAAAGAATTAGAAGCCAGAGTCTCAAAATGCTGGCTCTTAAGATCTCAGTTCTATTTTCAAACATGGTACATAAAATAGGCTCAGCAAAATGAGGCCTTTTACTCAGTCCAGCTCACTCTACTGCTCTCATCTGCAATTCTGGCGAGACAAACAAACCTTCTGTCACAGGGTAACCTGACGCCATTTGAGAACTTCCCAGGGCAGCCGGACTTGTAGGGCAGCTGTCGGAGTTGAAGCCTGAGCTCCCCGATGTTATCACACACCTTGGCAAAGTCAACAAAGTAATTTTTCAAGGTGTTGCTGAATTTGTTCTGCGTCTGCTCTCCTGCAAAGGTCAAGTCCACCAGTACACCTGTAGCTTGAAAGCACTCATTCATTCCTTCTTTCAATTTCTGAGTGTCCAGGAGGTTCCAAGCAGTGGCGAGAGGCAAGTGAGCAGACACCGTCCCTGCCTCAGGGAGCTCACACTGGCCCATTGTGGTTAAGTGCGCTGGAGATGTGTTTCTGGGAGTACAGAGCTCATACGTCACCTCGCATTAGGCCCAGCCAAAATCTGTTCAGAGATGTGGATTGATCAAGTGGTCAAGGCTATTTGTCTTATCTCTAGTCTCAGAAATGGTGACTACTTTGACCTCGGCTTCCTCACTTGCAAGGAAGAGGAAGCACTCACTGGGGGCAATGTGCACCTCAAGGAACACTGGCAATTCCTGGAGATAGTTCTGATTGTCACAGTCGAGTGGAGGAGAACTATTGGCATCTAGGAGGTCAAGGCCAGGGATGCTGCCAAACATCCCATGATACACAGGACAGCCTCCGCAACAGGGAATCACCCAGCCCAAGATGTCAGTGCTGAGGTTGGGAGAAACGCTGAGCTACAAATCTCTAACCTTCTCTCTAGCTCCAAAAATCCCGTTTTCTGAAACCCCTTTGCTTCTTTGCTGATGAAAACGTTTACGTGGCAGCTGTCTTCTCTTTGAGTGGAAGGTCATCTAATAATGTAGCACAACCTCCTATAAAATACCCAAATCCCCTTTGTAACCTTCCTGCCAGACTGCTAACCAAGTGATGAGAAGTTTATTATCTCAGATCTTGGCAAGAACCCCTCAGCATCAATGGCCAGCTTCCATCTGTTTGCAGGTTAAGGGGATAAGATTTCCATGAATAAATAAGGGAAATCTACATGTCATACAAAACCTGTGTTTTCGGCAGTTTCTCTCCGAATTTTTATAGAAGTTTCTAACTGGAGTCAACAATCACTGCCTTGAGTTTCATTTATTTTCCCAGCTCTCACCTTGCAGAGGGACGTGCTTCTGAGTAGTGAAAGGGTTAAATGCAAGCAGCAAACAAGAGTGCCAACGAAAGGTATCTATTAATCCTCAGACTGGGTTCTCAAATCTTGAAGATTCCAAATTAGCTCTACTGTTTTATAACTTCTAGGCATTTGCATTTCTTTGTACATTCCTCATATGCTTCAAACCCCATAGCTCTCTATCGGTAGGGGCAGGTGAGCTCTGAGTCCCTGTCCAAGGAAAAGCAAGAGTACGGAAGCATCCTGGAGCAGGGGTGGATGCACGACTCTTCAGTCCCCTGCTCGGTGAAAGGACAGCCTGCCCGTAGTAAGCCAGCAGGGCTCATAAGCAAACAGAGCTTCGGGGCTGACAGAGCTGAAGGCGTTACTGACTTCTGGCCGTGGAGTTACAGGAACCCAGATTTTCTAATCTCAACTCTACCATTTACCAGCGACCTTGAACGTGACCTTCAGATTCTCTAAACCTCAGTTTCTTCATCTTTAAAATGGGGATAATACTAGCACACTTCATAGATTTCCCCTAGGGATTAAATGGGATGATCTCTGTCGAGTGCCAGGTGATAGCAGGTTCTCCAAGAGAGTATAGCAGGTTGTTGGTGATGGTGTCATGGCTAGGGCTCACACATATAAAGGAGATAGGGCTCAGTGTTATTCAGAAAGAAGAAGAAAGGGGGCTCTCTTTTGTTTCTGAAATAAAGAACTTCTGTTTATATGTACCCCTCACCAGAATTCCACTATGCTTTCTGCAAAGGGAGGGGGGTACTAGTACTAAGACCCTCCTCCTGCACTCTTAGGTCCTTTCCAACATTCTCTTTCATCTCCAAAACACATGAGTCACACAGTAAGACACAGGCAGGTGAAGATCAAAAGTTAAGACCATGAAAAAGCAGGATACGAAAAATGTCCAGTTGGTCAATCTTGTAAGCATGTGAACACAGATACATTTAAATCTGAGCGCTCGGGTCAGTCCCTCCCTGTGACCAGCCAAATGCATCCCACGGATCACTGGCTTCCATTCTGAACACAAATGACGATCTTGTCGAGAAAAGGTCGAGCTCAGACCCACACTGGCCTGCAAGAGTACCAGTGGGTGCCTCTCGCCTCTTCCAGTGCCCAGTGCTTTACGGCTGTAAGGGAGTGACCTGTGGGAGAATATCAGAGGTGCCACGGGTGGTGTGGGGGGACACACGATGGCCTCGCTCCTTCCTGGCAGAGCTAACTGGAGACCTACAACAGTTGGGAAACTTTGAACTCTCAAGGACAAATCTAAGCTTCTAAGGTAAATTTAAAACTGAGCCAAGGAGAAGCCTATTTTGCTTAGGCAGCCAACCAGGGATTTCACTAATTCTGAATTCCTTAGCATAAGCTTTAGTTTCTAGTTACTCACCGTAATGGTTCGCCTCACAGACACAGGAGGTCCTGAGTGGCTGTCATATCTGTGGAAAGAATGTGAAATCATTTCTTTGAAGAAGTGCCTTTTTCTTTTTTTTTTTTTTTTAAGATTTTATTTATTTATTTGACAGAGAGAGACACAGCGAGAGAGGGAACACAAGCAGGGGGAGTGGGAGAGGGAGAAGCAGGCTTCCCGCGGAGCAGGGAGCCCAATGCAGGACTCGATCCCAGGACCCTGGGATCATGACCTGAGCCGAAGGCAGACGCTTAACGACTGAGCCACCCAGGCGCCCCAGAAGTGCCTAACTTTCACCAGGAGGAAAATCAACAGCACATTTGCTGTTATATCTTAATAACTTGAGAATGTATTAGATGTATTTCTAACGTCCTATAGGAAGACATTTCTTGGTTAGTGCGTTGTTGAAAAAAATCTCAGAAACCTTTTCCTCTGACTGTTTAGGATCAATGCTTTACATCTTTATCACTCAGGTAGCCAAGAAGAAATTACATAATGGTGGATTTGGATTTGAATGCAGCATAAAGACATAATAACAAAAATAGTATACATGTGTTGCGGGCTTACTATGTGTCAGTGTTCTCGTGCTGTGTGCACATGTTACCTCATTTAAAGACATTGCTCTTGAGAAGGGGATACTATGAATGCTGTCATTTTACAGACCCTGAAATGGAGGCAAAGAGAAGTCAGAGGACACAGCCCCAGTTAGTGGATGAGCTCAGAGCCGGCCACAGCCTCCTGAAATCCAGAGCACGCCTTCTTAACCAGTCCGGACTCTTTTTGCTAATGGGAAACAGATTTTCCTGTTTCCACACATTTTTATTTTCAAGAGAGATTAGGTCAGGGCCAGACTCAACAATTTACAAGGGAATTTTCAAAAAGCAAACCCTACAAAGGTGGTTTCTGGATGTTTATTTTTATAAAGATGCCTTATTCACTATGAAACTATCTTGGAGCATAATTATGCTTTTACTGTTTATGTTGCTTCTTTCAGTTTCTGTAGAAGTGAAAAATTTACAAGACATGGGTCCCAAATGGAGATAGATTTTGATCTTTTAGATCCATAATCCTATGCCAAGGGGCACTCTGCCTGAATTATAGCTCAGGATTTAATAGGCGGTAATGAGTCACTGCTCTGTATGAAATGAGGTCCTCTTCTTCCCTAAGAAAACAGCAAAGGGAATCGAGCTTTAAACCAATGAACTACAACTTCAAGTCAGATCAGTCAAAAGTGGCAAAATACAGTTTTCCTTTATTCGAACTCCTGCCTGCTTCATGGTTTCCCAGAGTCGAGCATAAAACCTGGGAAGCCGGCTGCGACCAAGATGGCCGGGAGACTCGCCACCTTCCTCAAGGATGCCTGGGCCAAGCAGCCGGTGTTGGTCACATCCTTCACCATCGGGGGCCTCGCTCTAATTCTGCCCACCCTCAGCCCCTCCACCAAATATGCCACCATGATCAACCAGGCCATGCCCTACAACTATCCAGTGCCCCTCCAAGATGACGGGAACATGCCCGATGTGCCCAGCCACCCCAGGTCCCCAAGGGCCCAAGCTTGGAGTGGCTGAAGAACTTGTGAGCACCCCCAGTGACATGGAGGAGGCCCCTCCCCTGAGCCAATAAAATGTAAAAAGCAACCCCCCCAAAAAACAAAAAACAAAAACCTGAGAAGCCATACAGTTTTATATGTTAAAGATACCCAGATATAGTTGACAGTTTAGCTCAGATTTTAAACAAAAATTGAAATTAATATCATGGACTATGTTTCACATTGCTCTGAAACACCAGCTCTAAACGAATACTACCTGAACTTGAATACTCCTTTTATTTTTATTCTTCTTTTCCCCTACGGCCTTATTGAGCCTGCCAGGCTGCCTTCCTGCCAGGCACTGTTCTGAGTGCTTTGGAGGATACAAATAGGACTGAGATAGGGACCCTGTTCTCTGAGAGCTTTTGCAGTAGGAATCATTAGATACATAAAGAGCCAAAATACAAGCAAAGAGGTGATGCGGACAATAAGGAGATGTTAAGTTAAATGCCCTGAACATGCAGAGGTGCTGGTGAGCACTTGGGGGGGTGGGGGTGAGCAGGGAAGTGGATGGGGGAAGGTGGCGGTTGAACAGGTATGGAAGGTGAGGAACAGCATGAGCAAAAACCTGGAGATGGGCAAGAGCCAGGGAGCTTGGGAACTGGCAAGTAATTCAATTTTGCCAGAGCCAAGAGAACATGCCAGATTGTGAAGACTCTTTCCAGAGCGCCGGGGGCTGCAGCCCATGAGGCTCCCCAGGCCCCGAATCTGATCTGGAGCGTGGGCAGCTGGGGCAGGGTTCGGTTCCCGAGAGTGGCAGGAGGGTGCCTGGGCTCCTCTCCATCCTTCATACCACCAACCGAGATCTGTCTAACATGCACATGCAACCACATCAGTCCCCTTCTTAACATCTTACAAGGTATTATCCAAAATCTTAACTTGATCCAAGGCTCTTCTTTGGTCTGATGAGCCTCTCAGACCACCCCTCATCCTTCAAGCCTCAACCCCCCCTCAACTCCACTCATCTATAGCTACCTGTAAGCTAGGCTTACCGAATTTATTTCACTTCCATAAAATATTCTCTCTTGTCTCTATACCTTTGCAGATACCATTCAGAAATTCTCACTTCAGTACATGAGAGCTTGACTCAAGAACATTCTTTTTAAAAACTAGAACCCCAGGTGACTTCCCCCACGTACTGATGAAGCATACTCTGAGCACTGGCCACTGAGGAGATCCATCTGGATGACCATGGGCCATTCAGACCCTCCATGTCCCAAATGGACTCTGTGTGGTCGTGCAACATGAGTTACTTAGCAACATCTCTGACCCCCTACCCACTGGATGCCCAGAGTTCCCACCCTTCAGTTGTGAAAACCAGAAATGTCTTTTGGAGGGCAAAATTGCCCCTGGTTGAGAAGCACCATGCTAAAATGATCTTTGTAAAATGAATATCTGATCATGTCATTCTTCTGCTTACAAACTAGCAACGGAGGGGCACCTGGGTGGCTCAGTCGGCTGAGTGTCTAACTCCTGATCTCAGCTCAGGTCTTGATCTCAGGGTTGTGAGTTTAAGCCCTGCACTGGGCTCCAGGCTGGGCATGGAGCCTACTTAAAAAAAAAAGAAAGAAAGAAAAACTAGAAATGGATAAAATAGATGTATGTACCGCACACATGCATTGAATACACCAAAATATTTTAGTGTTTGTCCAGGGCAGCGGGTTGTGGGTGACTTTATCCTATATATATATATCGGATATATATATACATACACATATATATAAGAGAAATACACATACACACACACACAAATAAAATATATACATATATAAAATATATACATATATATAAAATAAGGAAAAATGGTATTAAAGTAAAAGTGATTAATGATTTCCCATTGTCTATGGGATCAAATCCAAGCTTCTTAGCCCTGCCAGTGGCCTCTGCCAACCTCTCCCATTCCATCTCTTACTGGTCTCACCTTATCCTGGGTCACTGATCCTCAGTGACCTAGATGAGTTCTTGCTTTTTCCGGTCTCCACACCTTGGCTGTGTCAGTTTTTCTGCCTGGTGCAACCTCCCAACTCTTAATTACCAAGCTTAGTCCTGTATGTCCTTTGACAATGGTCTCTCCTCTTCCAGGAAGGCTTCTGGTCCTCGAGTCTGAGTTAAGCGCTTCTCCTAGATGTTCCCAAGGCTGGAATACCGTGCACCCTCCCTCGCACTCACCATATGACACCATAATCACCAGTGTACTTGGCCGCAGCGAGGCCAGATGGTATCCCTGTGTGAATCCCACAGAGCACCCCTTCCTCAAGTTACTGTCATTTGCCAGAAAACTGCCATAAGAAATACCTCAAGCCATGATGTTCTGCCATGTCCCAGGGTTCTGTGGGGCACCTCTGCCCAACCACACGCAATGCTCTGCTGTTCCCCACTGGATTACAGATTTCTCCAGGAAGGGCCTGTGCCTTATTTTCACAATTATCCTCAGTACGAACAGTAGTATCTGATCCGGAGTAAGACTTTGATAAACGCTCGATAAATAAACAAAAGCGAAACTATCACCTGGGCTAACAACACCCATGCGGAGAGTTCTGACAGCCCTTCCCGAAGCAAGGCTGCCAGGGGTTTCAAACCGCCACGTGAGCACCTGAATATCCTGGAGAATTTAAAATAAACAAATAAATGAAGTTCCCTGTGCCCTACTTCAGACCTTCTGAATCAGAATCTCAGATTCGGGGCCAAGTGTCATTATTTTTAAATTGCTGATGAGATTATACTAATGATCAGCCCTGTCACCTGGGAACACCACCGGCCACCCAGGGTAAACTCCAGACTACTCCCCCTGTCGTGCCTCTTCTTCTTGTCATCACAGCCCTGCCCGTGGAGACCGCACCTGGGTTCACAGAAGGAGCATTTCTAGAGGAGGATCTCGCTGACTCTGACTTCTCCTTTCATCGAGGAGTCTAAGATTTTTGTGTCTTTGAACTCAGGCATTTGCAGGCATTTCTAGAGGAGGATCTCGCTGACTCTGACTTCTCCTTTCATCGAGGAGTCTAAGATTTTTGTGTCTTTGAACTCAGGCATTTGCAGGGAGCGGCATGTGTAGCGAGTGAGAGAGAGAAAAAGAGAATGACCAGAATCCAGGGGAAAAAAAAATATCACCTGCCTTTTTAATTTTCCAAAACAGTAGCTCAATGTCTTGCTTGCGTAACCTGGGGTTGCAGCTGGAGCGGTATACGCCCCGTGGGCCAGGCAAATTTGGGCATGTCTGAAGAGCAGCAAGGTGGATCCGCCAAAGCGCTTTGCATCTCAAGGGAAAAATAAAATCCTCCTGAAGCTGCAGGGTAAGGGGCATGCGCTCAGCCCCGGAGAGGCGCTGCCCGTTCTCATCACCACCGCGCAGTGGGTACTTTACAGAGGCTAAGCACTGTGATGGTTCTCAAAGAAAAGAGGGGATCTTAAATTGAATTGTACATGCTACTCACGAGCCTTACGAACTAGTTCCCTCGTCTTTTCACTTTGCCCCGGTCCTTGGGACTACAACAAAGGACGGGGGTGGGGATCCACATCCCTAAAATCGCCCTCATGAACTAGCGGCACATGGCGACACAGTTTTGACAGTGTAAGTGGCCCCCTTGAAGGGGCAACGTCACTGTGGATGGCGCGGTAGCATGAGACCCAGAGGGGTGCGCACGGCACGTGTTCATAGCAGGGAGGGCATTATTGGGATCATGGGCGTCTGGAATAAGGAATGAACAACTGTAAATCCTCTTTGGCAGCCAGGAAGATTGCATTTGTAAGCTCATGACCTACACTCTTGCGTACTTGCTAAACTCCGCAGAAGGAATTTTTGAGGCTCTAGCTTACTGAAATTTCGTGCTGGCAGGGCGGGGTGCGGGGCTGAGCCCTATGCCATACGCAGTAGATGCCCTATCACGAGACACAGGAGACAGAACCTACAGGGAAATGCTGGGGGAAAGATACTTGCAATATACACGTATACTTCTCTTGAAAGTGTTGGCCGGCAATAAACAAATCGAAACATGAGTGGAAAATATTTTTCCTTTTTCCTGGGGTTGGGGAGGGGTCAGAGGGAATATAATTCAATCATTTACAAATAGGATTAAAATAATAATGGGATAGTGGTGTCTGGGTGGCTCAGTGGGTTGAGTGCCTGACTCTTGGTTTCGGCTCAGGTCACGTTCTCGGGGTCCTAGGATCCAGCCCAGAGTCGGGCTCTGCACTCAGCTCGTGGAATCTGCTTGGAATTCTTTCCCCCTTTGCTCCTCCCCCTGCTCTTCCTCTCTCTCAAATAAATAAATAAATATATTTTAAAATAATGGGATAGTTTGAGAAGTGCACAGATTTGGGAGGAGAAACTCATCCTATTTGAAGCAGAAATGACAAAACTTTTTGCCTTTTTGTTAATTCATTCAGTCACCATGTTCTCATGGCTTTTTTATCCACTCCTAAGAGGAAACCAAAGCTTCAGTATATCATATACTTTTACTGGCTGGGCCTTTCTAAAGTAAATATCTGATGAAATGACCAAATCCATTTCCTTCTGGGGAGTGTTCTCCATGATCCAGTGTCATTTCTTGGTTAAACCACAGCTTAAAAGATGAAAAGAAAGTTCTCTGATACTCGAGTCTTTCAGGGCTGAACAGAAGGCTATATTTTGCCTGGAGGGGTGGGTTCTCTTCCTGTGATTTGCAAAAGATCCTCTCAACTGCTTTGCTGACTTGTTCTTAGAGCCTCGAGTGTGACAAAGTGGAGCCCAGATGGCTTTGGCAAGTAGGAACCTGATGGCCACCTGGCACAGGATGACTGTGCTTTCCTGGGGCTTGTCAGTTCTTCCTGGTGCAGTTAAAGGCAAGGAGGAGCTCCTGAATCATGTATTTGGAAGGTTGATTTTGTATTTCAAAAGATCAGAACTATCAAAGAAAGGTAGGCTCTACTTAAGAGTAAAGAGTCTCTGGAAATGTACAATACACAATTTATATTCCTACCATAGCACAACATTCCCTAAAACCAACCCCTGGCCACACACACACACACACACACACACACACACACTCAGGATTTATATCCAAATATTTAGGTCACGCATATATTTAAGAATAAAAAGGACAGGGGCACGTGGGTGGCTCAGTCGGTTAGGTGTCTGCCCTCGGCTTGGGTCATGATCCTGGGGTCCTGGGATCAAGCCCTGTGTCAGGCTCCATGCTCAGTGGAGAGCCTGCTTCTCCCTCTCCCTCTGCCTGCTGCTCTGCCTACTTGTGCTCTCTCTCTACCTCTCTGTCAAATGGATAAATAAATAAAATCTTAAAATTTTTAAGAAAATAAAATAAAAATAAAAAGGACATGTTTTTGCAGTTTATCCACCGAAACTTCTTAGGAGCAAAAAACCAGTGCCTTCATGATAATCTGCACCAGCACAATTCATAAATATTTATTTCCATTTCCATTTTGAAACTAAAATGTGTTTAGAGAAGACAAATTCTGAAAACTGCTTAACATACACATATATACTTAAAGGATAAAATCTGTTCCATTTCTGCATTCTGATTTTTATGTTTCAGTTGGTATGGTTAAAAGAAAGCTGCAAGTCAGGATGGCACACAAGAAGGATGGTTGCTAAATAGAATTTTGTGAAGTTGCAATTTTTTTTTTACCTTGATCTGTAACCAGAAAACATGATACCCAGATGGAAGATTCTAGATTTGCTGTCTTCTTTGATCCATTTTTGCAGTGACTTGTAATATGAGCTCGGAAATAACTTGTCCACAGAGTGAACAGGTTCCTCAACTTTTCCAGGTTTACTGATGTTAGATTGTTCAGTTGTATAAAACTCTGCCTTAAAGAAAATCACCTAAAACACAAACTCCATCACAAGTCCCAGCTTCACCACACATCAGGAATATTTTTTCTTGTCCTTAAAATACATATTCCCTCCACAGGAAATACCCTTCGATTTTTAATCTCCAAACGAGAGGATTACTAGCGTTTCAAACATTTTTACAAAGAAAAGCAACTCACCTATTTGCAGAGTACTTCCTTGCAAGTGACTCTGGTAGGGACAGTCACATAAATCTACATTCTGTTCAGCTCTTCATTATTTCAGCAAAGACAAAAGCAGGCTCAGGTGAAAGCTGGGAGCAAAACACCTTCCATCCACCCGAGAGGGGAGGACAGAGTTCTGTTCTCCAGGTTCGGGAGCCTCATCACCCGCCCCACCAAGCCGCGTGCCACTTACTGTTTTCAGCAAGAGTGACCTCCAGCACCTCCTATTTAGTGCAGCAACGCACTCTTAATGGTGTGATGGCTCACGTCACGTGTGAGGCCAACACCTTAAGAGGGTGGGAAGCTTTTCAACCAGGAAGACGTGCTGAAAATATTTAGCAGCCAGCCCAACTGCATGTAAGCAAAGCCTTGCTTGTTTTTCACAAAACAATCCAATAACCTGTGAGTCAGGATGAACTGATTTTTACACCGTTCTACACTGGGAACTCTCTGGAACGATGCCTGTTCCAAAAAGCTTCCCTTTCTTTACCTTAAGTTTAAATTCTGGGTCCTGGGCGCCTGGGTGGCTCAGTCGGTTGAGCGACTGCCTTCGGCTCGGGTCATGATCCCAGGGTCCTGGGATCGAGCCCCGCATCGGGCTCCCTGCTCTGCGGGGAGCCTGCTTCTCCCTCTCCCACTCCCCCTGCTTGTGTTCCCTCTCTCGCTGTGTCTCTCTCTGTCAAATAAATAAATAAAATCTTAAAAAAAAATAAATAAAATAAATAAATAAATAAATTCTGGGTCCCCACAGCAGAACAGCCGTTCTGGATACTGCTAGTCACGGTAATATCCTCATCCCCTCAATTTTAAAATGCCAGTTTTCTCTACTCTCGTTGCTCATCTCGTTTACTTTCATTTCATCTTTCTACCCCATCTCTCCTTGTGACCACAGATACACATATCCCCAAGGAAAAAGTAGTTTTGATTTGAAGATATCTTCCTGACCAGAGCATAGACCAGGCTCTTGGAACAGTGGAGAAAGTCAATGAGCATTTCCCAACATTTAACCCATTAATCACTGCATGCACTACCTGGGATCTGTGCAGTTGGTTAGAAGTTGGCTTTCAAAAGAGCCAAGTTTCGTGGTGTCAGAAGGACTTTGTCCCTCTGCGAGTTCAGTCCTGTTTCTTTTGTGACTATCTGCATTTAAAGTCAGAGAACAAACATTAAACATGCTGAACACAAAACAGGCTACCGGCCTCTGCCATCAGAGGTGTCACGTGATCCGAGTTTAACTCACCCTTTCTGTCCCAGTGACTGAAGCTTTAAAGTCTCCTTTCTGGATTTTCTGAATGAGAACAGGGAAGCAAACGACGATCTGCAGCTCAGCCGAGAAGAAATGGATGTTGGGTTTCTTTGATTAGCTGTAGTTTTAGATCTTGATGTTTGTAATTCCATGGGATCTAGAGGGAAATTGTAGAAATTTGGCATCACTCAATATTTCCAGGTAAATACATCTCAGAGAACTGAGCCCTCGCTCTTGCTTCCTGCTTCTCGATGGAGACGGAGAATGCAGCAGGCATCCCCACATGAAGACCCTAGGAACTCAGGGGCGCCCTGTGCTTCTGAAGGCTCTGCTGCGTAGAGAAAATCCTCACGAAGAGTAGGGAGCCCTTTCAATATGCACCGTGAGCCGCAGTTCCGTGGAACGTGCCTCCCCACAGGCCAGCTGTGCGAATCCACCCAAAGCCCAACGTAAGGTGTCACGGCCCTCGTTCAACTTGCGGGGTGCCTTTAGCCACCCTGTTCTTCAGACATTTTTTATCTTAGTGCTTTAAAACCATACTGATAGACACCATGTAACTTTTTACTCCAAAGAAAGGAAAAGGAAATCAAGCCACTTAGAGTGTTCCTTATTCCCATCAGAAATCTGTGTGTATTTGCTACACATATGGTTTATATGTGTGTCTGCCTGTAATATAAACATGCCTAATGTGTGTATAGATAACATATAGTTACATATGTGAGTATTAAAAATTCTAAGGCAATATCAACATATACAAAGTCTGTAATACTGTAATATATTTGGACATGCTGAATTTATAAATATTAGAGGAATTCAAGGTAAGGGGAAAGTCATCATGGTAAATATGGGGTTAATTTCAAAATCTGAACTATGAGTCTTTTTAGATAGATTTGTTTATTATGGGAGTTGTAAAATATTGTCAGTATAACTTTAGAAATATTGTTACATGTTTCTTGATGTTACTAATGTTAGTAACACGCCAGCAGAAGTAGTCAATATGACTATATTAGTAGGAAGATACTCTATACTGTTTTCATAGTTTATAATGCTGAATGCACTTTGTTATTCTCACAATAGTCCTGTGAAAGCGGGTTTTATTATCCTCATTTACAGATTGGAAAAAAAAAGTGATGGGTGAAGATAAGTGACGTGTGAGTAGTCACATGGTTGGGATGTTCAAAGAAGCACTTACCTATGGAGTTTAAGTTACCAAAGTACCAGAAGGGTGGCGGCTCTTCTACCACCTCCCATAATTCCCCCTCCCCCTCCCCCTTTCTCTCCCCCTCCATCTCCCCCTTCTTCTGCACCATCATCCCAATCATTTAAGTGCTTACTGTGTTCCAGCTCGGTGCATTATACATACACAACGACCCTCTGAGGTGTATCATCATACCCATTTAAAGATGAGAAAATTGAAGCTTATAGAGAATAAGTAACTTGAACAGTTACATGGATTCTGATAGAATAGAGAATATCAAGAGAGTGGAGATGTGAATCCAAGCCTTTTTTTAATATTGATGTCTGTGTTCTTAACACTACGCTATCTTGCCTGATTCTAAAAACATACCCCCAAGACATTATAGCACATTTTCAGTTCACTCTTTTTATTATATGCTAGGTTATAAAACTTTTGTACTTTATGATTTAAAAATAATCCTAAATATGGATTGGTTAAATCGGAGACCCACTGAGTCATTATCTAGAATACAGTGCTGTAAGGAAAAAAAAAAATCTAGATCTAAATTTTTTTCTCACCATTTTCTGCCATCCCCTTCCTTAGTCTGTATGTAAGTGGTTGTTTTAACATTTGGCTAACATCTGTTTCATTGCAGAACTTTTTTCTTTGAATTTCCTCAAACCATTCGCCAGTCACTCCCTGAAGCCATCTGATATCCCTCTTTGTCTTCTGGAGTTTGCTGAAATAAAACAAAAATGTCAATGCATCCTTTAAATTTCTTCATATCAAGTGCACATTCATGGGATAGGACGTTAAACTTGACCTAGGGAGAGCTGCATAAACTCTGAGTCTGGGAGAGAAACTGGCCCTGGTCAGAATTTCCTTTTCCCCACCATGTACGTATTTTAGCTGTGTTTTTCTAAATACAATCCACAAGTTTTTGCTAGCCGTTAAAGTAATCAAGCTGGTGATGACAACTTGGGTTGAGCATTATGCGAACCTGACCTAATAATACAGTTGAATGGTTGATGATTTAATGACATGCAGAAACCAGAATATTCTAGTTCTGATTACTCATTCATTCATTCAGTGTTTCTTGAGCAATGTTCATGTACCAGTCCCAGTGTAGACAGTGGGGATTCAACATTGAACATAATAGATAGGGTCTAGTGGTCAAAGATAAACGTTTACTCACAGAGAAGAAATGGTTGAATATAATGATTTTAGATAAAGAAATTAACACAAATGACAGCTAATGCTTTGTCGTCAAAGCCAGTGTGACTTGAGATGGATAGGAGAGGCCATCCAGAGCACAAATGTGTCTGCCCCACACCTTCCAAACACCAGGCCTGAAGTCCTATCATTCCTTCTTTATCCTTTTCCTCTGCCCTTTCATCGTACTTGTCCTCTTTCAAATGAAAAGGTTGCTTAGCCCTTAATTAAATCACTGGTTGTGATTTAATTACTGGTTCCTTTTTTTTTTTTTTTTTTAAAGCCAATTTGCTCTATTTCAGGAAAACCCTAGAACTGTTTGGAAATGAGAGGTGCTTAATCCAGAGAGAGAGAGAGAGAGAGAGGAAGCGTGAGTGCTGGACGGGGCAAACAGAGCAGAAAGGCGAGTCTGAAGTACATGATGTAAATCTCTTAGTGGTCAGTTTGGCAAAGCACTGGGCTTGTTGATGGGGTCCAAGCTTGGGAAGTTCTGCTGCTTGGGAAAGAATTTCATGTGATTCTGCAGCAGTTACCCTTTACCCTGGGTCCTCTGTGAAGCACCAGGGTCGGGGAGTTTGTATGATGAACATGGTGAGCAAGACAGCCGCAGAGTGGCAAATTTGGGGTTAAAGGTAATGTGGTTCATTCAACCCAGGCTCCCGCTTGGGGCTATGATACTGTCATTTTATAAAATAATCGAGAAGGAAGCCAGAGGCCATCCTGCCCAGACTTGCATTTTGAAACACAGGAGGCAGCAGTCGTCATGTCCAGGCCACAGCATCCGCCTGGGTGCCTCCATCTGTCACTGCTGTCCCTCGGACGCCTGGTCACTCCTGTCTCTACTGCCACTTCCCTGCCAACCAAGGGACCACAAGTAACTGTTTCTAATCAGTACTGGCTGCCTCCAGCTTGTCATCACCTCATTTATTAATGTCCCACACTTGTTCCCCATTCTATGTTCTCGAAGTCCTCCCCTCGCCCCTCGCCCGATTGTTTGAGCCTGACACTCAGCACCATCCCCCCCACCACTTGTCAATGCATCCACCTCATCTCAGAACACAGTCAAGCTACCTGACTTCGGAATTCTCCAAAGAACATAACCATTTATTCATTTTTACTAGAGGCTTGATGAAACACTGACTCTCTTTGAAAATCATCACACTTCATTTGACGTCAAGTGCTCATTCCAGGCTTGCGCTCACATCCTTCAAAGCCTGTTTCTTTCCCAACTTCTGGCCAATGAAGTCAGAAATCCGTACCTCTATGGGAAGACTCCCACAGTTTGAATTTGACCTCAGGAAGTAAATCTTGAAGAAACAGCCCTCCTCCCTGTACACTAGTTTCTAAAAATAATTATGCGGGCAATGCAGCATCCTGGGAATGTCACATAGCACGAAGCAGGAAAGACAAAATGCAGGTTTTATCTATTCCAAGCTATATAAAATGCTGCACACATTGGGGAAAAAAATCAGAACACCTGGTCTCTTAGGGCAGAATAATTATAGGTATCATTTCTATTTTTAACTTTTTAATTATGTTTATTCAGTAAATATAATATATTAATTATTTTTTCTTGTTGTTAATTTTTATATTGTTGGGGCTTTTTTCCATTATACTTTTTCTTGTAGATAGAGAAAAAAAATCAGTGATGTTTTCACAGTCTTAACACAATCACTATTAACCATTTGGTATGATTTTTCACATGGTCGTGATAAAATTTATTCAATATACATTTGTGGAAGGCCTCCTGGGGTGCATGCAGGGATACAATGCTGAACAGAGCAGACGTGGCTCCCACCCTCCGTGGGACTCCCCATCTAATGAGAAACAGATCTGAGCCCAGTCACAAGACAGATGTAAGGTAACCAAGAGAGGCGAGAATGATTAATGCATTCAACACACATTGAACTCTGGGTGAAGAGCAGTGAACAAGTCAAGTCCTTGCCCTCACAGAATTTACACCCTGTTGGGGGCAAACAATAGAAAAGTAAACAGGTGCTAGGTGAGCACCTGGGGCAGCAGCGAAGATTTTTCCCGAGAACACGATATGTGGCCTGAAGGTTGAGGATGAAGGGATAGCAGGTAGGTGGTTCTGGGAGAAGGTTGAGGATGAAGGGGAGCAGGGAGGTGGTTCTGGGAGAGGGTTGAGGATGAAGGGGTAGCAGATAGGTGGTTCTGGGAGAAGGCTGAGGATGAAGGGGTAGCAGGTAGGTGGTTCTGGGAGAAGGTTGAGGATGAAGGGTAGCAGGGAGGTGGTTCTGGGAGAGGGTTGAGGATGAAGGGGTAGCAGATAGGTGGTTCTGGGAGAAGGCTGAGGATGAAGGGGTAGCAGGTAGGTGGTTCTGGGAGAAGGTTGAGGATGAAGGGGAGCAGGTAGGTGGTTCTGGCAGAAGGTTGAGGATGAAGGGGAGAAGGTAGGTGGTTCTGGGAGAAGGCTGAGGATGAAGGGTTAGCAGGTAGGTGGTTCTGGGAGAAGGTTGAGGATGAAGGATAGCAGGTAGGGGGTTCTGGGAGAGGGTTGAGGATGAAGGGGTAGCAGGTAGGTGGTTCTGGGAGAAGGTTGAGGATGAAGGGGAGCAGGGAGGTGGTTCTGGGAGAGGGTTGAGGATGAAGGGGAGCAGGTAGGTGGTTCTGGGAGAAGGTTGAGGATGAAGGGTAGCAGGTAGGTGGTTCTGGGAGAAGGTTGAGGATGAAGAGGAGCAGGTAGGTGATTCTGGGAGAGAGAAAGAGAGAGAG